TGGTGTCCCAAGCCAACTCCTAACCAATGAGCCACTTGGCCGGCCCCCTCCCAATTTTTAGTGTGTTCGTGTGTGTGTGTGTGTGTGTGTGTGTGTGTGTGTGTGTGTGACCAGGCCATTCCATGTCTCTGCCCCTTCTACCAATCTTGACATGAATAATTCTGTGTATCTTTATTTATAGGACTTATGCTCAGCTAGATTTCAGGCGATTCTCTGGGTGTTTTGTAGTTGTAATTTGATGTGGTCATGGGAGACAACGAGCACAGCATTTACCTACTCTGCCATCTTGACTGGAATCATTTACTTTTTTGCATAGGTCCAAAAATGATTTTAAACAGATTTCCTTTACTTTTTTATTTTTGATTCAGTCATCTTTGCTGTTTTTCCTTTGTTATACTGTAATATACCCTGACCTTTAATGATCTAACAAATTTTATATATATATGCACGCACACACACACACGTATGTTTTTTGGGGGGGGGATGTGTGCACGTACGCACGCATGCATGCGTATCTAATAGTATAAAATAGTATAAGAAACTTGAAAACCTGGTTTTAGGAGGGAAAATCCCCTGAGTGTCTCTGATGGCACTTTGAATGAAATCCAGACTCCCAGCAAGGTCAACCCACCTCCCTGTCTGTGCTCTGTTGGCCACTCTTCATTGTCCATGGGCCTGAGATCGGTTCTAAGAGTTGCTTTCTTTTAGGGCTTTCTGTATGCCAGAACATTTCCCATTGCTTAGAACACGGTTTTCTCTAAACCTTTATCTGTCTCCCTTCTTCTTAGCCTTGAATTTGTTTTAAATACCACCTCCTCACAGAGCCTTCCCTGACCTTCTTTCTAAAGTTAAATGCTTTGTGTTGTTCTCTCTTACCCCAACCTGATCTTTTCCCTCATAATATATATCATAAACAAATTGTTAACTGGCTGGTCTGTTTACTTGCTTTTTGCCCATCTTTTCCACTAAACTAAAAGCTTAATGAGAGCAGGAGCCATCTCCATAATGCTTATAATCTAGCAAAGCACCTGACACAGAGTAGACCTCTAAGTATTTGAGGAATGAATGAAAGAGTAAGTGAGCTGTAGTAAAAAGTCTTGATTTTCCCAATTAGAGAGATTTGATGAGCTGAAAGGGCTAAGATGAGACTTCCTAAGTGAGGAGTGAAGTATTGAGAGCTTAGAAAGAGGAAATACTTTTATCAGGGTCCTGTTATATTCTGGGCAGAGTACCAAGTACTTTTACACACATCTTATCGTTTCACTTTCCTAATAATCTTTTTTTTATAGATATGTAAACAGAGGCTCAGAAGGCTCATATAACTGCTCCACGCTGACACAGTTGGGAAGCAGTAGTGCAAGCATTCCATCTGTGACTCCAGCTGCAAATCCCTATCTCAGGATCACAAACTCAGGTGTTTACAGGATCAGGTGGACAAGGTAGGGATTGGGACAAACCAGAGAGCCTGTGCCCCATCTAAAGAGGCAGCCACACCCAGCCAGCTGATGACATGGGGGAACTTGGGCCCTGGATGGCCAGAACTTGCAGTTTTTCAAGAGAGCTGTAGATCTGATATTTATGGGAAATAATTATATTTATAGATGTTGGCATCCAGTTTTTTTTAATTTTTAAACTTTAAGAAGTGAAACAAAAGTTATCCAGTGGCCAGTTTTTATCTTCAGGGGGTCTATTTGCACATTCTTCTTTACAGCAGAAATGGTGAGCCCAGCCTGGCTAGAACTCGAGAGAGAGTGGGTAACATGGAGGACAATGGCAGTATGTCAGGTCACATTGAGGTCCTTTGGGGATAGAACTAGAGAGAGCCTTGGGCTAGTAGAATACATTAGCTCTGCTATAATGTGATATATGCATTCCTAAAAATTCCCACACTATGCAAAATTGTGTAGTGGAAATCACAGGGCTTATGGGAATCTGTCTCTGTCATCACATGGCCTTCTTATAAGGACACCAGTCATTGGATTTCGGGCCTACCCTAATCCAGTATGGCCTCATCCTAACTCGATTACATCTGCAAAGACCCTGTTTCCAAATAAGGTCACAGTCACAGGTACCATGGGTTAGGACTTAACCATCTCTTGGGGTGGGGGGTGGAGGGGACACAGTTCAACCCATAACACCTCACACTTCTCCACAGGAGACTTAAATGTTAATGAGTCTGGATACATTCTCTCAATTTGGTGTTTCCTTGGTCTCATTCAAGGGGAGACTACCAGCTGTGTTTGTTAGCAAGGTCTTGGTTTGCATAATAGTCACCTGGGGGTTCCAGTGGGTATTTGGGGAAATTTTTTTTTTTCTGCTTACATTTATAGTTCTTTTCATGGAGGTGGTATCTAAATGGAAAATGCAAATATCTTGGGAGGGAAGGATAAACAAAGATATTTTTTAAATGTGTATAAATAATTCATTGAACTCATATGAGCTTGAATCTTGCGGGGCGGGGGGGGGGGGGGGGGGCGATACTCTTGGCTTTGGGATATGTTATACAGTCACCAAGAGCAACTATCTCTGTCTCTGTCCCAGTCCTCCCACCTCCTCCCCAGCTCCATACATGCCTTTCCTCAACCAAGAGGACCTGGGAGTAGCACAAAAGGAAGTGACATGCCAGTTACTGTGTGTGCTCAGACGTAGTGTGCATGATCTCTGAACACACCAAGGGGGAAGGTCTTACTAGCCTTGCCTTGGGTGTAATTGGTAACTGAAGAGCCCTCTCAATAACACAACTATTTTGTTTCTTAACAAGGAAAACAATTTAGGAAGGAAATAAGAACTGATAGATGTAAAAAGGAAGTCAGACATTTGACTCAGATCTCAATGTAATAAGGGCTTTTTGAAGGTCATTGTTCTGAGCTCTTACCTAAGGCAGGAGTCCCATCTGTGGCATCTGAAAGAAGTGTCTGTCAGTCTGTCTGCAGTCTTTCAGTGGATCATTGGGTAGGAAAGATTTTTTAAAAGAGAATTCTTTTTACAAGGTGTTTTGTGTCATGTTTTACTGTTTCAGGAGACTCTGGGTGTGCCACAGATTATAACAGTGAAAGGTACTTCCCTTTCCTTCTCTCTCAATCTGTTCTTCTTCAGCCTTAAAGATCTTTTGATCTTTCAGTTGGAAAGGATGACTTACTGGGATTTATGCCCAGACATCAGCTAAGGATTTGTTTTGGTGTCTTCTGTCCCCAGTCTGCTATTCTTTCTGGTTCTGCACTTACTGTGCCCTCAACCTGTAACACACTTTGCCACATCTTTGCATGGCTTCCTCTCTTGCATCATTCAGGTCTTTGCTTATCATCACCCCCTCAGAGAGGTCTTTCTTCCTAAAGTTTTACCCTTGACTTCTTCTCCATGTCATGCTGTGTCCATTTACCCTGCTTTTTAGTTTTCTCTATGTCACTTACTTGACTGATGTACTATGAGTGTTCACAGTCTGTTTCCCCTGCTAGAAAGTGAACTCCACAAGGTGAACCTTTGGGTGTTCGTGTCCCTATCCTTAGTACTGAGAACAGTGCTTGACACATAGTGGGTGCTCAGTAAACGTGTTAAATAATTGCATCTTTCTTGCCTATGTCAATTTCTTTTGAACCAACCAGCATTGTGTGGTTTTCCATATTGAGCAGTTGGCAAAGCTCTTGTGTTAGACTCTGTGTGAATTTCCTGTTCAGCTGTGGAAAATTCCGTGTCACAAAGCATCATCTATCAAGACGTCCAGATGCCAGACCTGCCCATAAATATGCTATAGGAACCGATTTCCAGCCAGAATACAGCACATGTCCCCTTCCCCGAGGCCCCAAGACTCCTGTTTTCAGTGAGGGCCTGTTGGTGTCCTCAGGGAGAAGGTGGGCCGTGCTCTAAGTGGGGCACTTGATCTGAGAGAGAGGCAGGGCAGGAACCAAAACAGCTAAAAAGAACTTTTTGAATGAGAGTAAGAGAAGTCACTCTTGCCATAGCATCTGTTTTAATCGTGACTGATGCACTTAGGCAGGCACTCTGGGAAGAGGTGGGCTCTGACAGTGGTCTCCTGAATGGTAGGATGGCTTAGTGGAATTAGGGTCAGGAGTAGTGCTTCCACAATCTATTATTAAAGTCTTCTCTCCAGGTGCCAGGCCCTGTGCTGATCCTGGGGTTATAGCCCTGAATCAGGTGTCGTCTCTGTTCCTAAAGGCCTGTTGAGTCAAGAAGTGGGAGAAGTTGGGTGTACATCAGCAAGGGACTCCTTGGGGGACTCTGTCACCCAAGGCAAGATTATTTACAGGACCTTCCCTTCAGAAACAACCCTTCTTTAAAGTGGTCAGTCCCGGTTTTTAAATTTTGTTGATCAGTAGCATTTCAAAAAAGTTAGAGTTGTTCGTATTTTTATTATGCCCAGGACAAGGATATTATTTTTAAGTTAAACCTATTATCTACTTATTACTATCTTCATTTTATAAAAGAAAGAGCTTTTATTTTTGTAGTGTTATTGAGATATAATTGGCATGCAGCATAAGTTTAAGGAGTACAGCATGATGACATCCATCATCTCATACAGATACCGGAAAAAAAGAAAAAAACATATTTTTTTTCTTGTGATAAGAACTCTTAGACTCTGCTCTCTATTTATTGACTTTCTACTACATGGTACAGCAGAGTTAACTGTAGTCACCTTGCTGTATATTCCATCCTCAGGTCTTATTAAGCGTAAAACTAAAAGGTTGTACCTTTTTGACCACTTTCATCCAATTCCCCCTTCTTCTACCCCCAAAAGGGCATTTTAATTCTAAAAATAGTGGGAATGATGACATCCTAGAATAAATTAGTTTTATGAAAATTGGTTTCTGAAAAGCTCACGGTTGTGTTTTATTTTTCTCATTTCACCATGCACTGGTGAAACTGCATCTTGGACCAGCATTGACTCCAGGAAGGCATTGGGCAGTCACCACTGTGAGCACCACCTGCAAGTGCACAAGTCGTACGATGCTCCACGAGAGCGGCCTCCCTGTTGTGTCTTGTAGATTGTGACAGACCAGCAGACAGGACAGAAGATCCAGATAGTCACCGCAGTGGATGCCTCAGGCTCCCCCAAGCAGCAGTTCATCCTGACCAGCCCAGATGGAGCTGGAACTGGGAAGGTGATCCTGGCTTCCCCAGAGACATCCAGTGCCAAGCAGCTCATATTCACCACCTCGGACAACCTGGTCCCTGGCAGGATCCAGGTAAGGCCTATTGACAGGTGTTTATTTCAGCACTTGTACAATGGACTTGTTCCTGACTCTAACCTCTGTCTTGGAGGCCAAATCCATCTCTAGAAGGTCCTTTGGGGACTGGCAGACATGGCAGGTTGCTGCTTTGGCTAACATAAAAATTCAGCAAATGAATGGCAAGACCCACAAGGCAGCCAACTACAGTGCTTAGATGGGATGGCAGTTGAGCCAGGAAAAACCAGTGACCCACAGGAGACTGGCACGAGCAAGGCGGCACTGAGGCCACTGGGGAATTGTTGTAAACTAAGGCCACATGGTGGCAGCCCTCGGCCCAGGATATTGTAGGGATACTACCTAGGGCTGACCAAGTCAGACAAGTACTGGCTTGTTCCTAACTCTTACCTCAGCCAAGTCCAGATGGTCAGGCTGGTCCAGCACTTCATTGTGTCCTTTCTTGCTCCTGGGAACTGCTGCCCCCGTACCCTCCAGTTACCATCTCCATCTGTGCCCTGCTTCCCCTACTCTGCAGGGCGGGATGGGCTAAGGGCAGTATAGGAAGGAAAAGAGCAAGGGCTTGAAGGAAAGCAGGGCTGTTGGGAAGCACTGAGTTTCCAAGCCCCACACTTGAAGGAACAGAGACTGGAGGGCAGTGTCTCATGGTGGCCACGCACAGAGCATGTTTAATCAGGATCAAGTTGAAATCCAAGTTTTTGTTTTTAATTTTTTATTGTTTTTGAAGTTTGTGATAAAATATATCAAAATTGAACCATCTTAGTCATTTTTAGTTTTAGGTGTACAGTTCAGTGGCATTAAGTACATTCACGTGTTGTGCAACCATCACCATCACCCATCTCCAGAACCCTTTTCATCTTCCCAAACTGAAACTCTGTCCGCATTAAATACTAACTCCCCCTCCCCCAGCCCCTGGCAACCACCATTCTACTTTCTGTCTCTCTGAATCTGACTACTCCAGGGACTTCATTTAAGTGGAATCCTACAATATGTGCCCTTTTGTGAGTGGCTTGTTTCACTTAGCATAATGTTTTCAAGGTTCATCTATGTTGTAGAAGGTGTAAGAATTAATTTCTTTTTTTAAGACTAAATTATATTCCATTATGTATATATACTACACTTTGTTTATCCATTCATCTGTTGATGGATACTTGAGTTGCTTCTACCTTTTGGCTACTGCAAATAATGCTGCTAAGAGTCCATGTATTTTGGGGCAGACTTTCTGCTATGGAGAAAATTAAGGAAGGCAACAATCAATTTTATTTCCTCTTCTGATAGAATTGGGTTCAGAACACCAGAACTATGCATGAGACTTCTCATAGTGTAGTTAGTAAATGTTGTCTCATCCTTCCTTTTCCAGAGTACAATTTCGATGATCTGAAATCAGAATTCCTCCCTGCTTTAGACTGCTCCTTGTTTGTGAAGGGATGGCTATTGATTTTGTTGTGTGTTTTACAAGAGGTCACACTACATGATTTCTGTATATATTCCCACCACACATAAATAATTTTAAGGCTCATTTTTGGTACATTAGTATCAGTTACAGTATTCTTCTGCATGAGTAGCACTATTTGTCATCTAGAAAGTCACCTATAGATGAAGGAGAAATAATGGGTTTTGGAGGTCACCTATTCTAGTCCTTCCACTCTAAGCTGCCTCAATGAGAGACCTACTTATTTAATTAATAAAGCTTGATTATTTCTCTACCAAATATATCTCTCTGCATAGTTTCAAGCTGTTCCATGGGAACAGAGAGGCAGCCAAGGCAGCCAGAAAGACTTCAGTATCTCTATGTAGGGGCTTCTGTGTGATTCCCCACATGGCCCCCAATTCTGGGCGGCTGTGGTAGCCAGATAGGAGAGCAGATCAGTAAAAACCAGCGCCTGACCCTGGAGAACCCCCCACCCCTACCCCCACTGAAGGGGTGCAGTCCAGATGAGCGGCAAGGCCATTCCGGGTGTCAGATTTGGTGTCAGGTGGAATTTTCCCAGTTCTGCCCAGAGTTCTCCTGCTCAGAAACCCAAGATTAGGAATTTACAGTTAAACATTACTTTGCTTAGCAATCTGGTTTTTAATCTGCACCCTGCTTGTTTCCTGATTCTTCTTAGATCGTCACGGACTCTGCTTCTGTGGAGCGCTTGCTGGGGAAGGCCGACGTCCAACGGCCCCAGGTGGTAGAGTACTGTGTAGTCTGTGGCGACAAAGCCTCCGGTAAGTAACCCTAGGTTATGCTGAGTGTGTGTCATGGACCCACATCATGAACCAAACTGGGGAGAGGGGTAATGGAGAGAGAACATTTTCTGTACGTTTGTAGGTTTCAAAATATGAACTCCCCTTTTCTTATTGGGGTAATGATGTATATAAGCAGAACAGCTTGTCAGATTATTAAAAGCAAAAGGAAAAGTCAAGAAACTGTTTCTGTGATTTGTAAATCTTGGTTGAGTGTTGAATATGTATCGCTACTAAGGAAGTAATCACTTCTTTAGTCAGTATTTTGCACAATATTTTGCCATTTCACAAAATGTGTTATTTATTCCCCCTTCATCCTGTGAACTGTCTCTGTCATTCCCTCACTGTAAGCCAGTGTGATAAACTGCTGAAATGGAGGAAGTGGAGGGAGCATGTGATTCTGGCGGGAGTCCCAGGGTCAGGAAAGATCCCCAGAGGCAGTTAAATCTGCGAGCCTTGGAGGTCGAATGTGTGCATGTTGGGTAAAGCAAAAGGGCGTTCCAGCTGGTGAAGCCAGGGCCCCGAGAGTTGAATGTCCCCACCCACAGTGTCTTTGGGGCAGAGATCCTGGGCTTCTGTGGTTAGCATGTGGGCACAGAGACTGTAGAAGATGCCAGGCCCGAAAGTTTAGACTTTGGCCTGCTAATAACACTGGGAGCTGTAGAAGATAAGTGAGGCAGGCAAGGAGGAATGGAGAAATATTTTATGCATTTACAGTTCCAGTGATGCTAAGGACACAGGCCTGAGTTCTGTGGTGGCTGCTTGGTTCCACTTTATTCTGGGGTCACAAAATTCACAAGAACTTTGGATACTTTGTGGTCCTGTTTTGTTTTTGTTTTTGTTTTTTAAAGGAGACTGGACTAAGCCTCTTAGGAAGACAGCCCCAGGCAAACATCTACAGAAGCTCCAGTCCCCCTCCCAGCTTGTGACACCAGTGCCCTATCAGGGGTACCCTGCCTCTGCTCTCACCCCTTATCCTGATAAATCCAACCCATACCACCCCTTCTCTGAAGCCTCCACCTGTGCTGCTTCTGTCCTCGTCCCCTTTTTGTACAGACCTCCCTGATCATTTGTAGCGTTCTCTTATAATTGATACATATGGGTCTGTCTTCCCCACTAGACGGTGCTCTTTTTGCTAGAGTAAGAACTGTGTCTGACCCCTTCATCTCTATATCCCCGCCTTCTTGCTCAGCAAGGAGAAGCACTGTGCAAACTTTTCACCAAATGAATGAAGCATGAGCATAACAAAGAGTCTACAGCATCTGCTTGGCTTCCCCACTTGTCACTTCCTTTCCGGGCTTAAAGGAACAGCCTAGTCACAGGCTTACATTGCCATTGTCTCCACATAGTAAAGGTCACTGTAAGGGCCAGAGAGCCCAAAGAAATACCATGCAAGGAAAGAAACGTGATGTCTTCATGGTGGGTAATTTTAGCACAACTGCTCTTAAAGGCTTAAAATTGAGACCCTCCCACGTACACCCTTGGGGAATGGCTCTGCTGGTAGAGCTTAGGGTGGTGGGATGCTCTGTGGCTGCTATAAATGATGATCCTGTGAAATGTGTCCTCTCAGCAGTGTAGCGAAGACATTGGGTTACATAAGACCGAACCAGGAGAGCCTATCCGTGGTCAGTCCCATCTGGGACTGAAGGAGATAATAATGTGTGTGGAAGCATTTTGTGAACCAAGAAGGGTAAACAGGTGGAGGGCTCTTTTTAAGTCATTGGTAGTTAGAATTTAAGAGATACAAAAGTAACCAAGATTAGGAAAGAAAGAACTGCATTTAATAATGTATTTCTAGGACTGTGTTTCTGAAAGGGTTTGACTAGCTAACCCAGGTGAGCCACATAGCGACCTTCCTTCACCGTGGCCTGTGCAGTCACGGTCCCCATGCTGCTTCCCATCATCATTCCACTTCTCCCAGAGGAGGTCTAGGGCCCGGCACATGATTCACACAGGGGAAGTACATGTAGGAGTGAGGTCCTGTGTGCTAAAACAGCACATGCATGCGTTTGCTACCTGCTGCTCTTGGCAGGGCAGGGGAACCTAGGTCTATAAAGCCAGGACCATGTGCGCGCTGAGCACAGTACAGCTCGGCCATCCTGTGAGATCCTACTGTATGGTAGGTTCTCCGTGTACTAAGAGCATTGAGGTCATGCCATTTACTAGCTGTCACATAACCTGTCTGAGCTTAAGTTTTTCCATCATGACCTCAGGGCTACTATAAAAACTGTAGTGAAATTATGTGAAAGACCTGGGCACCACGCCTGTGGTTGTCCACATGGTGCCGGCATCTGACACTGCACACCAATCACTTTGATAGCCTTGCCATAAAGACAGCCTGTGACAGGTCACCTCTTCTCTTGGTAAACCATGTCTTGTACTTTTCATCCTTGCAGGCCGTCACTATGGGGCCGTCAGTTGTGAAGGTTGCAAAGGTTTCTTCAAAAGGAGCGTAAGGAAAAATTTGACCTACAGTTGCCGGAGCAACCAAGACTGCATCATCAATAAGCACCACCGGAACCGCTGTCAGTTTTGCCGGCTGAAAAAATGCTTAGAGATGGGCATGAAAATGGAATGTGAGTAACAATATTAAAGAAACCACATGAGTTAACAGGGAGGAAGAAAGGGAGCAAGCACAAGTCTATGAAGTAAGGTTTCTGTGCCTGACTTCAAAATACTATGGAAAAGTATCCTTTCGGGCTTCATTTTGGTACCTTGTCGATCAGGTAGGTTAGGTGCTTCATTGCCGACGCTGCTAGGGTTGGTCAGTTCCCATGGTGTATGTGGCCACGCCTCCAGATAAATCAGGAGGCACCACTGTGGAGCAGGGTGAACACAGGCTTTGGAGTAAACCTGCTACCAGATCAAACTCCAGGTCTGCTACTTAGGAGCGGTGAGGCCTGGGGAAGACATACAGCCTCTTTCAGCCACAGGGTCTTCCTCTGAAATAGAACTGCTTTCCTTATGTATTATATTTGGGGCTCAGTCTTCATTTTTTTCAGTTTCTGGCATGTATACCTGTTCTGGATACCACATTGCTGAGAGAGAGGTTGCTAGGGTAATAGAAAATTGACACCATGAAACAGTTTGCAGAAGTCACGCAGACTTGAATTGGACATCAGAATTGTTCCTTTACAATGTGTGGCATTAGACTAGCTCTCTATCAGGGACCCATTTGAAGATGGGTGTTTCTTATCCTGGAGAGAGTCCCTTTTGTTAGCAGGTAAGAAGTGAAAACCCGAGGGCCCAGCGTGGGCCCTGAAAAGGACATGCAGAGGCCGAATTGCCATTCTTCACAGGCAGCACCCACCATCTTGAGCTCTTTTTTCTATCTTTAGATTTGACATAGCATTGTTTGGCTTTGAACCTTTCTCTCCTTTGGCTGAAAAGCCGTGAAAATTGAGCTAGACTTTCTAAGGAAGACCCTTTACTTTAAACTATGAAGGATATGGTTGTTATTGATACAAATCTTCCCTCTAAACATGACTATTTATATTGTGATTTAAGCTGTGCAGAGTGAACGGAAGCCCTTTGATGTGCAACGGGAGAAACCAAGCAATTGTGCTGCGTCAACTGAGAAAATCTATATCCGGAAGGACCTGAGAAGTCCTCTGATAGCCACTCCCACATTTGTGGCAGATAAAGATGGAACAAGGTCAGCCCCTGTTTTAACAAAGAGCAACACTGCCGTTAGCCTTTGTGCTGATCAGAGGAGGCACCAATGTCTCTTGTAATGGGGGCATGTATCGCCTGCCCGCCACAGCCATCAGCCTTGTCTTGCCTCATCCCACTTTTTGGAGCTGCTCCAGTCAAACCTCTGGACAGGCCTGAGGATGGCTTTTCCTATCTAAGGGGCTCAGGTTATGTCCTATAGTTTGGGCATTATTCATATAGGACAACAGATCTGTAATTCAAGATTGGGGCTTTTTTGCAGTATAGACAAAAGGCCTAAGTCTCAGGTGTGGTCCCAGATAGTGCCACAAGTTAACTTATATGTTCTTTTAAATGTAATGTATTGAACTTAATTTAAAAGGAACAGAGAGAGGGAAAACAAATCCCAATGTATAATAGAACTAGAGTTGAGAATGCCTTGGTGATACTCTGAAGATCAAGTTAAGCCACAGTCTGCAGTCAGCGTGGAAGCCCTGGGGATGCGTGTTTCTGTGTATCATCCTGTCTCAGGCTGTAGACGTGGCTGTGTGCACATCTCATTGCAGAGATGGGGGGGTGTTCAGTCAGTTGCTGGCTGCATCTAGTTAGAGCTTTTCTTTTACTCAGACACTTCTGATGTGGGAGGGACAGAGAAATATAGCATGATCATACTATACCCTACATTAAATTTTGGAAGCTACTCTGGTTTCTTTATGTCTTAAACAGACAAACAGGTCTCCTTGATCCAGGGATGCTTGTGAATATCCAGCAGCCTTTGATACGGGAGGATGGTACGGTTCTTCTGGCCACGGATTCCAAGGTGATGTTATGCCTTCTCCTCAACTTTTATGTTGCAGTGCAGACTGCTTCTCTAAATGTGTGCACCCACCTTCTTCTTGGCCTTCAGAGACCACGTCGAAAGCATGGCCTTCTGCATCCCAGTTTACTTCCTGTGATTCTGACCCCTGAATGATTTGTTTTAGGGATGCTGATGGCTTTTCAGAAACTCTGTCAGCGCTGGCTGGCCATAGTCATTATAACAGGGTATAGAGTTCAATTTGGTGAAAGTTCTATGGTTTTCTTCTCTATAAAGATTTTTTCCCCCTGGCACACACATTGGCAAACTTACTGGCATGCTTATCCTAAGATGGCCTTTTGCAGAAGCCTCTAGTTCCTTTTTATTAGATGATCTGCAGGAAGAAGCTCAGCCAGGATTCTTAACAATTCTAAAACTGCTAAAGCAAGTCAGCCAGAGGGAATTTAGCTTGCTGTGAACAGAGATATTTGTCAATCCAAGAGAGACAACTGGCTAATTCCTTGAAGGTAACTAAGGAGGAGGGTTTTATCCAGGGCCATTGTCTTTCTCATCTCATTGTTCCTGATGTAACCCAAATAATGATGAGGTAGCAGCCAGCCATGGCTGAGGTCCAAGTTTTCTTCTCTAAAAGGAGTGACTTGGTAACAGTGCCGGCATTGCTGCTGCCTTTAGAACCACAGCTGGGCCTTTAGGCTTCCTTCTCATTTGCTCATGTGCACATTGGTGTGCATACTCAGTGTATTAGGGAGCATCCTCTTTTGGGAAAGAAAAGGCAAAAATGAGAGCCTTTGGCTGCAATGGAGAGCTGCCCTTTACCTGGTGATCCTTAGGCTGGGCTTTGAGCTTCCCATCTTTGGGCAGCGATGATATGCGTGACCTAGACACCACACCTGGCTTGCTGCTGTCACCCAGAGACATTCGGGACAGTGACTGACTGGGTAGTGGGGTGGAGAGAAACTGTAAGACGGAAAGGAAGGCCCGAACAACCTTAAAACTCTTGATTACCAAGGATTTCACAGCAGCTATTCTGTTGTGTCTTTTTATTGACAACATGCTTTGAGTGGCTATACCACATTTTATCTATTCATCAGCTGGTGAACATTTGGGTTGTTTCTACTTTTTGTCTATTATGAGTAATGTTATGAACACAAGTTTTTTTGTGGACGTGTTTTCATTTCTCTTATGTATATACAAGTATACCTAGGAGTGGAATTGCTTGTAACTCATATGGTAACTCTGTGTTTAAACTTTTGAGGAATTGCCAGACTGTTTTCCATAGTGGCTGTACCTTTTTACATTCCCACCAGCAGTGTATGAGGGTTCCAGTTTCTGCCTATCCTCTCCAACACTTGTTGTTGTATGTCTTTTTAATTCTAGCCACCCCAGTGAGTGTGAAGTGGTATCTCATTGTGGTTTTAATTTGCATTTCCAGTGATGTTGAGCATCATTTCAAGTGCTTTTTGGCTATTTGTATACCTTCTTTGAAGAAACGTCTACTTAAATCTTTTGCCCATTTTTAACTGGCTTATTTGTATTTTTATTATTGAGTTGTAAGAGTTTTTTAAATATTCTGGCAACTAAACCATTATCAGATGTATAATTTGCAAATATTTCCCCCCATTCTGTAGGTTGTCTTGTGTGGGGGGGTGTCTTTTTACTTTCCTGATAATGTCTTTTGAAGCACAGAAGTTTAAATTTTGGTGATGTCTAATTTTTATCTTGTTTGGTTTTTTTTAAAGATTTTTATTGGGGAATGGGGGAAGGGAATAACAGCGTTGGGGAATTGGGGAAGGGGAACAGACAAGTTGCTGTCCTTTTTTTCTTCAGTCTAGCTGTGGAGGACATCACTTCACTGGCCCATGTTGGCATTATCATTGCGCTCTTCCTGGGTGAGGCAGTCGCTCGCCGGTCACTGGACAGCTGCTCACGGCGGCTCTTGGCAGCTCACGTCGGCTACTGGCCGCTCATGGTAGCTTATGGGAGCCCACTGCAGCTGCACTGCAGCCTATGCCTCATGGTCAGCTCCAGGTCAAGCTGTTGTTCACCATCTTAGCTGTAGAGGGCGCAGCGTCACTGGCCCTCATGTCAGGGAGCCGAACTGGGGCCCTGCTATTCAGAGCTGGCATCCCAAACCAACTCTTAACCAACGCGCCACTCGGCCAGCCCTAATTTATATCTTTTTGTTCTGTCATTTTATCACATGTAGATTTGTGTGACTACTACCACCATCAAGATACAGAACTATTCCATCACCAAAAAGATCTTCCCATGCTGCCCCATTGTAGTCAGACCCCCATAGGAGCTGTTTTTAAACCAACATTATACTTCCATTGGCCTGAGAGTCGTGTGTGTATGTTCTTTTAATGTTATTTTTTGTTTAATAGGCTGAAACAAGCCAGGGAGCTCTGGGCACATTGGCAAATGTAGTAACCTCGCTTGCCAACCTCAGTGAATCTCTTAACAATGGTGACACTTCGGAAATGCAGCCGGAGGACCAGTCTGCAAGTGAGATTACTCGGTACGAACACAGGAGGGAGCGTGGAGGTTCCCCTCCTGGCATGCACACTCAGTCGCTGCACTGTGAGAGTGGGTGGCAGCATTTTGACACCCACCCCGTATTTAATCAAGAATTGTAAAATTGTCACAGTGCCCCTGCACAGGTCTGTCTCCTTTTACATTTTAACTGTGGGAATGTGGGTTCATATATACAGAGGGTTCCAAAAAAATGTACACACATTTTAAGAAAGGAAAAAAACTATTAAAATTGTAATACTTAATATATACCGATAACAAAAGATAAATACAAGTTATTTGCATACATTTTTTTGGCACCCCCAGTATATATGAATGATATAAAACAATCAAAACTGCTTTTCATTCCAAACAATGAAAAAGGACCTTGAGTAACTCAGTGGAAGTGGGGGAAAACCCTTCCGTGGACAGATGTTACTTGTATCAGTCACTGTTGATTGTTCCTGAATATTAATAGTTCATTCCCTTTCCCAATTCTGTTTTAGCCTATTTTTCTCATGTATATTTTTCATAAGTAGTGAGTCTAGAGCTTAAATCCATCAAGGTAGGTAGATATTAGGTGGTGGATAGCGTTAGCTGGTCCCAGAAGTCTGCAAGTGGCCGCTGAGGGTGTGTCTTCTCTGTAACCTGGCTCTTGAGTTGGCTCCTTTCCTATGGGGCCGGCCACTCCTGCCTGTGCTGCCAAACTGGGCAGGTGCACGGCTGGGGCCACATGAGCGTGCTGGTCTTCACATTCCCTTGCAGTCTAATAGCAAAGTGAGGTCTAGATCCAATGGAAAGAGGAGGGATTCGAGTTAGGTAGAGCTCTCGTTCTACCATTTATTATGTGGGTGGTTTTAGAAAATTTATTTAACTTCGCTAAGCCTCAGCTTTCACATCTATAAAATACAGAGAATTCTACCTTGGAAAGAAGTTATCAAAAATACAAATTACATGTGAAAATAAATACTATATCGCTTGGTGCCTAAGACGAAGTATAGATAATATATAGAAACTTCATTTTTATCCCTTTTTTTAGCAGGTAGAATATAATTATCTTTCCCCAATGCATTCGTCTTCTAAATTATGTCTCAGCTAGAGTTCCTTTCCCCCTAAAAGCTGTGGACTCACAATACTTGCTTCATTTTTACTCACAGGGCATTTGATACCTTAGCTAAAGCACTTAATACCACAGACAGCTCCTCACCTCCCAGCCTGGCAGACGGGATAGACCCCAGTGGCGGAGGAAGCATCCATGTCATCAGCAGAGACCAGTCCACACCCATCATCGAGGTTGAAGGCCCCCTCCTTTCAGACACTCACGTCACATTTAAGGTGAGTGTGTTCAACTTAACCACCTGCCCTCAGCTTCCCCAGGCTGCTGGGAGAGGGGCTCTGTACCAAAGCTCATCTCCATTTAAAAAGCAAACCTTGGAATGAGCTCATTTTCATATTGTGGTATTTTATCAGGATCTTATATTCCAGAACCTTTGTCTCCATTATGAAGCATTTTCACTTATCTTTGGCTCACTGTGCCATTTGGCTCCGAAGGTAACCTTGAAGCAGGCATAGCCTGTCATTGCCCAGAGAGGTTACATGGTACTGACCAGCGAGGGCTGATAGCTGACTGATCCGCCTTCCGCTTTCCGATGACGACCTGGTTCCAGCACAGGCTCAGGCAGGCCCCTTTTTCTGCTCCAGCATAGGCAGCCATTGGTCCTGACTTTGCCCTCTAGAGCCATAGAAAGTACATCTCAGATATCCTTGAAGGGTGCTGTGAGGTCTCATAGGTCTCCACCTCTCCTCCACTGGCCTCGCTTCTACAGAACGTTTCCAGCTTCCCTGAAACCCTCTTAGTCTCTAGGTCTCCAGACTGAGTCTTCCTGTTCCCCCAGCATTTACTAGAGAGATCTAGCCAGTCACTTAAGGAAAAAGGGTCACTGCTCATAGTTGCCCAAGGGTGCCAAGGACACAGGCCATCAGTAGGATTCAAGCTTCAGAGGCACAGAGTTCCTTCTTAGATAGTGGGGCTCCTGGAGCCCCGCCCCAACATCCTGGTGGTGGGATAGCCTCCTCCTACCATCTGGGCTACTGCCCAGCTCGCACTCACTCATACCTTGAAGCCACCACCTACCACATGTCTGTTTGCCCGTGAAGTTTGACCCCTGGTCCCTAATTTGATTTAGACTTTAACCTACGACTCAAAATAGAATTGCCTTAGAACAAATAACAATTTAGTTGTGGCAAGAGTTGAAAAGTATGTGTTTGTATGGTAAGCTGGTGGAGATCCCCATCATGCCACATTCCAAGGGCCATCAAGCCATAGTTCACTGGGAAAGAAAGCACGGGGAGCTGGTACCAGCACCCCCTGCAGAGGACACATACTTCATAGGATGGGTCCGCACAGGAGTCTCAGCATCAGAGACAGTGACTCTGACTGCCATGATGTTGAAATGCAGCAGGGATTTGTATCGACAAACCAAGCCATCACCTGTCCCTCCATCACCACCTGTGCTCTGTACCTTCTCTTCTCTAGCTGACGATGCCCAGCCCAATGCCAGAGTACCTCAACGTGCACTACATCTGTGAGTCGGCATCCCGCCTGCTTTTCCTCTCCATGCACTGGGCCAGGTCAATCCCAGCCTTTCAGGCACTTGGGTAAGTGGCCTTTTTCTCTGCATAGCCTCAGGCAAGGGCCTTCTCTCTAGAAATGGCCTAGAAGATCTCTGAGGGTCCTTCCAGTTTGTACCTATTACCTGATTTTCCTATGACCATGGTTGTCAGTGCTGCAGTGTTCCTCAAATCATTATCAAGCTTTCGCCATGTGCGGAAGGTTTAGAGCTAGGAACTGGGGATGGAGTGGAATAGAGGCAAGAGTTGTCCTGAAATCTGGAGACAAGTAGGGGCATGCTGCATCAGGAGGTGTCTGAGATAAGGACATACTGTTCTGCCATGCACCAGCCATGCCATCCTGAGTATAAATTACCCAAGGCAGGGCTGAAAGCTGACTTGGCTGGCCTCTTCCTCCCTGCTGCAGTCGCAGCACCTCCCTCACAGGATTTGCAGGCCCTCAGTTCTCTTCTCAAGTACAGATGCAAGGTGTGTCTCCTCCCTTCAGAATCTACACTCAGCTCTTAGTCCTGTGATCTCTGCAGCCTCTTAAGACAGAGCCATGCCAGGACAGCTGCAGATTTAGAAGGCTATAGGAAATGACGAGTCATACCTATTAAAATTTCTCATTACTTAAGTTTAAATAATTTTTTTAAAGAAAATAGTTTATCCTCAGAGGGACTTAGTTAAGAGATGCTTAGGCAGTAGTGTTCCTGGAGCATGATCCCAGATACATCATAGACCTTCAGTACACACTTGCCGAATCCACTTGTTTGGGGAATGCTGGGGCTTGGGGGAGTGCCAACATATTATACACCACACCCACCCTCACCTCTGTGTCCCCAGGCAGGACTGCAATACCAGCCTGGTGCGGGCCTGCTGGAACGAGCTCTTCACCCTCGGCCTGGCCCAGTGTGCCCAGGTCATGAGTCTCTCCACTATCCTGGCAGCCATTGTCAACCACCTGCAGAACAGCATCCAGGAAGGTAGGGCTGGGGATGTGGGGCAGTATGTCTCCATCTAGGCTGGCCTGTCACAAATTGGCCAGCTTCAGTGTCCCATAGCATCCATAGGCTGAGGGAAGTTTAACTTCTAAGTCATAGGACCTTTAACAATCAGAACATTTAAATTTCTACCTGATTGCCTTCTTTTCATATAATAAATATGAAAGGGGAACACAAAAAACAAGATAATTGCAAAAAAAAGTTGCCACCTTCCTGTTACACAGGCATTTAGTATGTTTTCACAATATAACAACTTATGATTTCATCTTCATTAACAGATTACCTTTTCATGTGTAATACCTCACAGATCCTCACAACCCTATAAAGCAGCGGTTCTCAACCTTCCTAATGCCACGACCCCTTAATATAGTTCCTCATGTTGTGGTGACCCCCAGCCATAAAATTATTTTCGTTGCTACTCTATAACTGTAATTTTGCTACTGTTATGAATCGTAATGTAAATATCTTTTTGTTTTCCGATGGTCTTAGGCGACCCCTGTGAAAGGGTCATTCAACCCCCAAAGGGGTCGCGACCCACAGGTTGAGAACCGCTGCATAGAGACTATTATTTCTGTTACATATGGGGAAACTGAGGTCCCGGTAAGGTAGCTGGCTTGCCCCAAATGAAACAACAGGTAGAAGAGCTGGGGTGCTAGCCTGGGTCAAGCAGACAGACCCCTGGTTCAGAAAAGCTACCTCACCCAGCTTCTTGTGAATGAACAGGTGACTCTCTTCTAAGATCTATGACAACCGTCTAACATTTGGTGGTCAGACCCCAGCATATCAGGACTAGGAGATGGCCAGTGCACTCTCTCCACATGCTGTGTGTCCACAGCACACTGAAGACACTGTCTAGACGAGCGGTTCTCAACCTGTGGGTCGTGACCCCTTTGGGGGTCAAACGACCCTTTCACAGGGGTCGCCTAAGACCATCGGAAAACAAAAAGATATTTACATTATGATTCATAACAGTAGCAAAATTACAGTTATAGAGTAGCAATGAAAATAATTTTATGGTTGGGGGTCACCACAACATGAGAAACTGTATTAAGGGTCGCAGCATTAGGAAGGTTGAGAACCGCTGCTCTAGACGGAGCATGCCCAGAGTTCAAGACCAAGTCTACACTTGCAGCTGAATTGGAATTCTAATGCACCTGTAATGGGGCATCCTAGGTGTTTCATTATCTAGCAATGTGAGTTACCTAGTTTTCGTAGTTATTCCTTATAAAAAAGTGATTTTTAAAACCTTTTAATATTTTATTGAATTTAGATTTGTTCTCAAATAAGCTTTAGTTTTATTTTTAATGAATATAGTTAATGTTGATACCTCTTAGCAAAGTATTGTCATGAAGATTAAATCAGGTAACATAAAATTAGTTTGACAACTAAAAAGTGCCAACTTTTCAGGTTGACAAGTAGATATTAAATGCCTGCAGAGACTTAGAAAACCTAACCATTGATGAGAACAGACATGGGTCTTAAGCACAGAATAAAAGCAAGTATCAATTTGCACTTACAGGCCAAAGGTGCTGCCCAGGGTGGGACCAGGGAGAATCGTTGGTCCAGGGGTTCGTTATTGAGGCAGGATATATAATAGTGGAATTGGGGTACCTATTGTCACTTCACCTTTAACTGGAAAATTAAACTCTTGACCATCTTGAGATAACTGGTTTTTCATTAACATGTGAAATGACTCTCTTCTTTCAATCTGTCTCCTCAAAGAAACTCATGTTATTGTTCTTATCGGCCTTTCTCAGAGGATCTGTGATGTTGATTTCTAGATAAGCTTTCTGGTGACCGGATAAAGCAAGTCATGGAACACATCTGGAAACTTCAGGAGTTCTGTAACAGTATGGCGAAGCTGGATATAGACGGCTATGAGTATGCATACCTTAAAGCTATAGTTCTCTTCAGCCCCGGTAAGATATGCGGTGGTGACGCGTGAGTCTCCCCCTTGTGTCTACTGATGTTTGTGAATATGAACATACTGTCATTAGTGGTGTAGAGAGAGCCCTGCCAGACTGTATGCGACTGAATGTTCTCATACTAGATGTGCCCTGCTAGCATAAATACATACATTCTTTTAAATTCTGGCCTTTACAGTCCCAAAGAAATGACTTCATATACTGAGTAGATTTAATCTGTATCTTAATTAAACCATTGGCCAAACAGGGCTATGGCATACAAAATAGTGTTCTAGCATCCTGTCCTTTTTGTTTCTGATTTGTTTTGTTTGCTCTTTGCCAATTTTCAGGTTATGTTAGCATATATAACCCAGTACAGATTGAAACTGCACAGTTTCCCAATAGTCTCTGGAGGGCAGTAGCAGCAGTTGTTGCAGGGCACATGAAAGATGTGGTCACAGCAGATGAAGAGGAGGCAGCAGGACTGTTGGTGGAAAGTAAGAGACAGCTGGGCTGGCCTCACTCACTTCCCCTTGGCTGTTATCTGGAGCCTCCTGACAGGTCACTTGGGCGACTGCTGTCCTGACTATTGTCCTGGACAGCTGGAGTTAGACACAGCTTAACATTTCCCTTCCTCCCCAGCCCTCTACTCACAAACAACAAAATAGGTACTAAAAACAGGAGAAATTATGTGATTAAATATCTAAAAAGTAAATTTCTAATTTCATGTTTTAAAATCAACATGTTTTCTAGAGTAATAGGAAGCCAAATGTTCAGAAGCAGCAGGTGGGGCTGCTGAGGGCTGCATGACCACGGGAGCCCAGCCCCCTCCTGGTTACCGCCAGGCCTGGGCCAAGCACCGGGAAAAATCCAGTGTTCTTACAATAATATCCAAACCTGATGAGCCTTCAGAGTAAATCTGTTGTACTTGAGAAATTTGTCAGAGTTTGATTAAAAATAAGTACTAAGAAGTCTGTAAGGCAAGCTTTCTGAATACTGAGAACAATTTGGGGGCACTTTTCTTTTTTTAGATCATCCAGGTTTGACCAGCACAAGCCAGATTGAAAAGTTCCAAGAAAAGGCACAGATGGAGTTGCAGGACTATGTTCAGAAAACCTACTCTGAAGACACCTACCGGTGAGGCACACCAGCACACACTCTTGCTCGGGGCAGGGAGGATTGCAGCTGGATCTGTGGTTGCAAATTTAGATTATGTTAGCCTTACCCTTTCTAGCAGCCTGGTAGAGCCTCCATTTGGTCACACTTTAATTTTTGCATTTAGTAGGTGGTAATGGAGTGCGGAAGGTGGTATGCAAGTGTGGGTCAGGAGTACCAGGCCATCCCAGTTTCTGGGTAACTGAGCAAGACCTTGGGTTGCTTCTTTGATGTGGGGGTTGGAGTCAATGCTGTGTGATCTCCTGTGGGGCTAAACTGTGCATGGGACTGAGTCGTCATGGAGACTCCCTTGTCCAGAACAGCTGGAAGCTCTGCCCTCTGGTTCACATCCACTCAAGCGGCAATGTTAGAGTACCTGACAGAAAAGTTGTCATGGACAGAAGCCAAATCTGACACCTATAAAGGAATGAGTAGGTTGTATAAAATAGTAATTTTACCCTCAGATAAGCTTATTTTTTTAAGTTCTTTAATTTTAGGTGAAAATTAATTTGTTGTTTGTAATGGTTGGAGCCAAAAATGTATATATCTATAAATGAGCCTTTCTCATGCAGATTTGAACAGGAAAGTTGTTCTGAAATAGGGCAGAATGCCAGCTAAGGAGTTTCCAGAAGAGCTCTTTCCCTGTGACCACTTCCAACCCACTGGAGGCTACATGAATTTCTAGGGCCCTTTCAAGCAAAATATTTAATATTTCCCTCTCTACCCTGTCCCCTCAAAATAAACGCTGCAGCAAAATTGACCAGGAGGATGCATGGCCCCGCTTTTCCCAACTGTGTCTCTTGTGCAGACTTCAGTCCCCAGATGCCCGCTGGAACGGAGATGCCCCAGGCCTGAGGAGGACCGTTTCTCTGGTGTGATTGGGGGGCCTCTGGCTGGCCCTGCTGGCAGAGAGCCCACCTCTGCTTTAGGCATTCCTCCATAGCCCCCAGGCAGCTTTTGCCAAAGCAGGATCCATTTTCTACTGGAATCACTGAAGACCTCACCATGAATCTAGAGTTTCTTCAGCCTCAGTACATATAGGATGGGACTGTCAAGTAATGTACCCACACTCAAAACTCATCCAGCTAGGCATGCAAGCAAGCTGTCTCCTGCCACGGGCCTACTCCCACACGGCCTGCAGCCAGAAGAGGCTGACAGTGCCCCTTCTGGAGGCTGCTGGCAGAGCCACAGCACACTAGACTAATCACCTTGACAATAGCAGCGCTCTGGCCTTTGAAAGTAGATGCTCTGAAAAAAACCCTGAGTCACTCCTTGTCCAGTCAAGGACCCTGGGAGAAAAGGGGGACAAGCCAGGTGATTTAGGACCAAAAATGAGATAGGGGATGCTTTTCTTATAGGATTCAGAAAGTCACTCGAAGACAGTTTTCCCAAAGAAATGGCCCTAGAATGGTTAACATCCTGTTCATACATTCATTTTTTTAGTCTTTGCCATCTGTATGCTTTTTCTCATACTGTTTGTTCCTCCTGAAATGCCCCCTCCCCCCATCCCCAATTCCTCCCCATTCTTTGCATCTCTGCTGGTTTTAGCGAGCCTCTAAGGCCCGGCTGAGATGTGCCACGCGCCAGGAAGTCCTCCTTGATTTGCCCTTGCTGACTTCCTGACACCCTGCAGCTGGTCAGCCCCTCCAGGTCTGTTGTGGTGTCCTCTTACACCTTTGTGCGCCCTGCAAGACTCACAGTGGCTGGGTGAATGGATGATGGTGTCTGAGCGCTGCTTGCATAATGTGAATATATTTTCCCTTTAAAAAAATAACAGTGTTCACTGTAGAAAAAAATTAGAATATTCTGGAAAGCAAAAAGAAAATTTTGAACTGTGTAGATACCACTGTCTAGAGATACCTATTAACGTTTTGTGTATTTCCAGAAATATTTTATGTGTAATTGGAATCACAAAATACAAAGTAAGGTTTTATTTTTTTTTTCCATTTAATATTCAATGAGCATATTGTTTTCCGTGGCTGAGGAGGTGCTGTAATATAACATTTCCTACTGAGGAGAAGGTAGGTTGTTTGCAGACTGGGCTGGCAGTGCAGTGCGTATCCTTGCACACATGCTGTGTGCACTGGTCCAGCACCCAGGGTGCTTCATCTAGTGTCCCTCAGCCCTCCAGGACAGGCTCATGGTATGCCCTCCCACCCAGGGCTTCTTCAAAACAAAAACAATTACTGTTTTATTTTAAATTATAATGCTAAATGAACACTGGAAATTAGGGCATTACAGAAGAAGTGTTAATAACGTACAATCACTCCAAATCCTAATCCCCAGGGGCTAGCCATTAGCATTCCGGTGCACATCCTCCTGAATACACATGTGCACACAAGCAAACACACGCTGTGCAACTGAGCGGGACCTGCTACTATACAACCTCCTTTTTGGTTTTTATTCAGCTACATGTCACGGACTTCTTCCCTTATCAATGAATATATGGATCTTTATTCTTAAGGATATGTAGCGATCCGCTATATGGAAACACCATATTTCTTTTAACTTATCCTCTATTAATAGGTTCCCTAATTTCTTTTTTGGTGAAGATGCAAGTCATAAACAATGAGGGGAACATATTTGTGCATACATCTTTGCACTTAACCTATTTGACTTTTTTTCTCATGATAAATTCCTATAAAAGGAACTGCTGAAATCAGAAAAACAAGAGATGGATAGTGGATGGATCTGTTCAGTTAAATTCTGAGCAGTGCAGACAGGACCCCTGGGAGCCTGTTGACGGCGAAATCTCAAGGGCAGTGAACCCTCCTTTCTCTAATGACTCTCCCTCTTACAGATTGGCCCGGATTCTTGTCCGCCTGCCCGCACTCAGGCTGATGAGCTCCAACATAACAGAAGAACTTTTTTTTACTGGTCTCATTGGCAATGTTTCAATAGACAGCATAATCCCCTACATCCTCAAGATGGAGACAGCAGAATACAATGGGCAGATCACCGGTGCCAGTCTATAGTGCACTCACACACCTGCTGAGGAGCAAAAGGATCCTCCCAGGACCGCTCAGAGACAAAGAAAATGGAGTAGTGGTATTTTGGTATGTGCAAATATTTCCAGTATGTTAGCTATTTCCTACCTGGTTTCTCCGTATCTGTTAATACCAGACAATAGCAACTAAAAGACTAGTCGGATCCTTTTCTGCCATAAGAAATGTTTTAATGCCTTTTGATGAAGCAGCAGATTTTGGAACAATCTTTTAACTCAATTTATATTTAGAAATTCTCAAAGGGCAAAAAACAAAGTTTTATAATGTCAGAGACTAGTATTAAAGAAAACTAAAAGAACCTAAGAGAACAGTATGTGTATATATATATTAAAAATGTCCTTGGAATTAATAGCTACTAATTACCAGGGTAATAATATTAGCACTTTTTAAGCACTTCTTATCGATGCATAATGTTAGCAACATCTTGCCTCTGGGCAGGGCAAATGGAAAACTGTCTTTTGCCGAAATGCTAATGATTTCTGTGGAAATGCTAATGATTTCTGTGAAAATGCAATAGGGTACAGGAGACAATCATTTGTTTAAGAAGGCATCATTCCTAATTGTGTGCACACTTTGTTGGTGGTGGTGAACGAAATTCCTGTGAGCAAATGAAAACGTGGCTTATCTGTATCGTGCAGCGAACGGGAACATACCGGCACAGTCAGTGGTGATCCAAACCAGAAGCTTCCTCAGTCAGAGCTGATGCTCATCAGGTCCCTGATATCTGGTCCTGATCGGTGACAGGCATCTGCAGGCTCCTCCAAACCTGGGGTGTCTTCTGATGACTGGTTCCCAGAGTTGGATGCAGCCAGTCAGACATTAACTGCCAATTCCTGCAGCAATTGACAACACCCCCAAATCACCTCCGCCACTATGGCAGATGGAGCCTCCTGACCAAAAGGTGCAAGGTGGGCATTTTGAACTCTTGACAGTACTTCCTGAATACAATTGGGGCGGCTGCACAGTGTTCACATGGAGGGGCGTGGCCGCCTCAGAATGTGAGGGTTCCCTTCTCCGGGTTCCATTCCAGATGCCCCTTGAGAAGGGGCTGTTCCTGCGATTCAGTACAACTGTGGGGGTGGATGCAGGATCTTTGCTGCCTGGCCAGGGCGGTGGTGGTGAAGCTGAGTGGAAGGGGTCTCTGTTGACCTTAAATATCAGGGTTTTTCCAGAATGTTGCCAGACTCAGCATCTCCATTGGCACGTCTTTAATGGTACTGGCACACCATGCACTTTGACTCCCCCAGGTGTGTGCCAGCAAACTAACCCTGGAATATTTTAGATGGATGCAGAATCAGGCTGCCTGCTCCTTGAAAAACAACCCTTAATTCCCAAAGTTGTCTTCTGTCTCATAAGTTGTAGCGGCCATCATTTACAAGAACAGAATGTGGTTGTACGGAAGTTGTATTGTAGAAAAAAGCAGCCATAAATTCCCATGGATGTGAATAGCAGCAAGCATTTCCTGTTTGGGAAAAGTGGCGTGTCCAAGACGGGGTCAGGTACTTTGTATTTTCTTTTTGTACACCCAAAAATAAAATGTAAGATTAAATTTGTATCTCTTAAACCTTTTGATCAGATGATATCCAAAAAGATCCCAGTGTATTATTCCCTGTCTGGCTCAGTCCCTCGGTCCAGAGCTGTGTGTGGGTGCTGGGCGACCGGCTTACAGCAAAATGGGATGAGATGCTTTATTATGAAGTGTTAAAGCACTTTATGAAAGTTATTAGTGGGAATTAAGTAGGGACGGGCTCTCCAACTTATAAATTCCAGTTTGGATTTAATTATTATATCATTTCTAGTTCATGCTTTGGAAGCAAATTTTGGAGAATATTGAGGGTGCTCATTATAAAATGATGAAAAGGATTTAATCTTGCCAGCCTAAATTTTTGGTTTTCAACCTTGAAGTGATTTAAATCTCAAAATAAGACAAAAAATTGGTCAAGACAATGGAGTTAGAGTGGGTCTGTATCATTTCTGCTTGTGAAGGATTTTAGCAGAGGGCATTCTGAAGCATATTCATGCATCTGACACAGCGAATTGCTTATTTTTCTCTTCATTGATTTCTGAATGTAAACTTGTCTGTTGATCATGGAGTGGCTCCCTCGAAATACATGTGTCACGTCTTTCAGATCTGAGTTCTTGGTGCTGGTAAAAAGGTCTGTGCCAGCCAGTGCCCTCAATCCCAAGGGCAGGCCCTGGGAGTCCTGTGTCTCAGGCTTTTAGACTTGGGTTGCCTTAAGATATTCAGGCAGCTAAGCCAAGACCTAGACTTCTGTCCTGACGAAGCTATTGCTTAGATATGTTGGGAAGAGAAGGCGGGAGGACAGTGAACAACTGGATAGGGAAGTGCCACACTCCAGCAAGACAGCCCTGAAGAAAAGTCTGTTTAGTTAGAAGTTGCTGGTTCTTACCTGGTCCTGCTTCTTGAGGCCCTTGGATAGTGGTGGCTGACTCCAGTGGACCATGTTGGGCTTTGAACATTCATTAGTTTCCCAGATCCTCTTGGCCTTACTCTGAAGTGGCCTGTTCCTTAAGGATCATGTCCACACTACCTGAATTTTCACTGCCTCAAATCATTTCAAGCATTGGACAGCAGTTCTAGTCCATCTCTTGTTAAATTGGTTAAAAGTAAGCTCAAAGTCAAGAATTCTTTAAAGGGATCCCAGGCAGATATTAGGGCTTAACTTCCATGAGGCTTTTAGCCCTTGTCAGTAGTTTGTGTAACTCTAGATTAAAGTGAAGTGGTGCCCTCTGCCCGCGAAATCTCTGAGTGAAATAAGCCAGGAGCAGGATTCTTTACCGTGTAGCCTATCCAGCCGTCCCCTTCCGCTGGCCTACCCTTTCCTTTCTCCGTGAGCGGTGCACTGGCTGAGGGAGGTGGGGACAGACATTCACCATCGCTTCCTGATGACGTGGGCTCTTTTACAGTGCTACCTTAGGTAACATTGGACAGTTATGTATTGTTGAAATTTGTGGAGTTCATTACATATAATCATAAAAAAGGACAGGAAGAGACTTAGAAAAAGACCAAATTACTCAAGCACATACTACTTTTCAAGTTATTCCTGGAAAGTATTTTTAAGGCAAGTACATTAACCACCCTGCTGAGATTTGTAATTGTGTTTATTGGGGGGGTTACATTATTTATTGTCTAACCTCTGCCACAAGGTTGTGGTTAGGGTTCTTTTATGTGGGATTTTATATTTAATTTCAGGTATAGTCACTTGTTTTAAGATGTTATGTAATAGCCCTCAAGAGGGATTGTTTTCTAGCTTGTCAGTGTCAGTATTAAATGTGGACTCTGTTCTGAGGCAGTTGCCACCCGTCATGGTGATAGCAATAGACACGTCTACTCTGGGCTCCCTAATCTGGAGGCAGCATACTCACTAGAGTTTACTTAGCCGTTTTGCTTGTCTCCGGACGGCCACTGCAGGGAGCCGAGAATTAGAGCACTCTAGCTGTATCAAGTGCTTTGGTTCTGGGAAAACCACATCCTAATCCTGTGGGGGAGTTTCAGCAGAGCAGTCTCACTCCCTGTCTGCCTGACAGGCAGCCCTTGGCTGTGGATCCAAATTCTAGTACCTGGTTAGATTAGGGTCCAGTAGTGTGTGGCCTCCTTTCCAGTGGAAATGGCCTTATGGGCAGGAGGGCTACAGGTGACATTTCAACTCTTCCCTGAGCCCAAGTCATGAAAAGTGTCATCTTCTGACATTCTCCTTTATCTTGGGAGGTCGCTGCCCTTTTTGATTCTGGAAAGCTCTGAGCAGGCAGGGCAGAGGCCCTCATACTTCTGTCCCTCTTCCATTTCCTAGATTGTGTGGCTCTGAAAATGTCTTAACTTTGATGTGAATTTGTAATCAACGCAAAGTGGGTTTGGGTCTCTCGTACACAGGGCTCTGGACCTCCCCGTGTGCCTCCCACCAGCAGGCACACCTGCGTGTCCAGCCCTGAGCTCCCTTCAGCGCATTGTGCATGTACAGATTTATAGGCTTGGATGACTGAATGAATGTACATGTGTTTATACCTTCTCTATATGTACAGTGTATATAGTGTGTATGTGTACATAGATGTATATTATGTATACAGACATGTAGCCACGTATCCAAAACTCCTTATGTTTTAGAGAATCTATGATAGAATTGCTAAAGTAAACTTATGTGGGTGTTCTAAGGTCCCTCAGCAGGATCGATTTGCTGAGATTTTCTTAACTCCATTTTCCTTTGGGTGAGCCTGGTTGCGAAAGGCCATGAAGTCAGACTCTCCACTCTACCAGGGAATGTTCCAGACAGAAAAGGTCCTGATAGGATGATGTTGCTATGTGTTCTCTAGGTTCAGACAAGGGCTATGAAGCTGGAAGACAATATACCTTCATTTCCAAAAACTTGGTGGGGATCTCTAACCTGTTTGTCACACACCTATTTATGGCCTAACTGGAAGGAACTTGGTAGCTCAAGCAGTAGGCCTTCCCAGATACTCGCTGGGTCGCGTGGTCAGTTTCAGAATGGTCTGTGTCCTGGGGGGCCTGGCTCCCAGCGTGGTAGCAGTTTCCCCACTTGCTCTGGACTCAGCAGACGGTGGGCACTCCCCTGCGACTAAACACATTCCCATCTCTCTAATGCCAGTTGAGAGGGGGAAAAAAACCCTACCTAGTGTTTTTTAAAAAAAATAAGCATGAATGTTGATGGCTAATTTATGGCATATAAATTACAAATCTTAAATTATTTCTCTAACTATAGCATGTGATTGAAATCCACTGACTTCTTTCTGTAATTTATGATTTTTAAATTTCAGATGAAAACTGCATTTTAATATGGATATATATGCCCTTAAAGCTACAGATGACAAATTTTCCTTGTCCAGGTCTATTCTGATGAATTTCCCCCCTTAATCGGGCTTAAAACTGAGACTCGGCACTTGGGAGCCAGGGCCCCAGCCCAGCAGTAGTTCTCGAGGACCTGGTAAGCACAGGGGGCCTGATTGGCAGGGGAAGGTTGAAAGCTGCCTGCTGAAAAGAATCACTGGATAACTGCAAAACTCATAATCCATAGGTTGCTTTCTTTTTTTTTTAATAAGCTATTGAAATGTTTGAAAACACTTCATTGAGACCCTAGTACTTAGTGCCTTTTGTGAAACTGGGCCATTCAGCCTTCAGCGTCCCCATCTGTGATGTAAAACGCCTGCTGCTTCACTGGCCTCCCATCAGTGATTGTCACCTTTCCCATTGTGACAATCACACTATTGAAGGTGTCTTTCCAGTTAAAATTATGTGGAAGCTTGACAGTCTCTAAATGAATCTTTAAAAATTTTCCTTTGGGGCTATTTTAACAGCAATCTAAAAATAATTAAAATTGTGAGCTTACAAAAAAGTATCTTGGGGTGAGGAATGTCAGTTATTTTTAATGCCCAACTATACTTTCAATTAAGCCAATAATTTTGGTGTCTCAGTATTTATACATACAACATAGAAAAAATGCTATGAAAATGCTGAAAGAAAATGCTCAGCAGTATTTATCAATTGACAGACAGACAAAGCTTAATATTTGGATAACATTTGGAAGTAGTATGCTGCACATGAAAAATGGCATTTCTTTAGCAAAGTATAATCAATTGTCATTTTAACAACCAGAGCATTCATGGACTCAGATGCTGCTGCCACATACAACTCAAGTGCTGGAATATTTTTCTACAGTCCCCGTTCTCCCAATTATCTTGTAAACCACTGTTCAACTAGTTTTATAACTGAAAAGCTGCACATTTTTCATAGTACAAACCATAGTTTTTACTTGTAGTTTGGAGCTCTCTGTTAAAATGTAGCTGCATTACCAGCCCTTTTAAAAGATGTCTGTTAAAGGAAAAATTGGAGTGTTAGATTTTCTTGGGACCGTTTCTGTAACCTCTGCCCTTCCCAGTATAGAAACTATTGTTTATGCCGTTACATTTTAATTCCAGGTTTAAAACCTGTTGAAAACTGTAGCTTGAAATCAGCTTTATCTATGTGATGGCATTTAAAAATGGCATGTTCTTTTTAAACTGATTTTTATATCTAATCAATGTCTTCAGTCTTGAAGAAGAATTTGCATTGTTGTGTTTGTATATAGAGTATTGCAGTGCATGAATTAGCTTTATGCATTTTATTAAATGCTGTTCAATGTGGCATTATTGTTGTGGCTTAATACTACTACCTAAATGAGGTTTATACTATTAAAAGTGAATTAAAGACTAAATGTGCATCCTCCTTGTCATTTCTCCTCATAATAGTAATAACAATAATGCCTGAAGCACCCTAGTAGTGAGAACCCTGTAGCTCTCACCTCACTTCACCGTGGCCAAAAGTGACGTAGCCTGTCCCTTTGATGGCTCCCTGGACTTAGGTTTTTGCTGGACCCTTACAGGCTGCCATCACAGATACACACAGTGCCAGGCCTCAAACCAGCAGACTCATCCTGTAAGGATAGGTGTTATCCAGGGTAAGAAAATGTATTCTTAAAGAGTCAGAAGTCATCTGACTTCTCATTTTACAGGTGAGGATTCTCAGGTCCACAGTCAGATTCTTGACAGAACCACTGGCAACCAAATCAAGTGTTTTCCCCAAAATAAGACCTAGCCAGAGAATGAGCTGGAGCATGATTCCTCCAGGATATGGAGGGCACGCACCCCTCACATGAGGATTTTATGACCTGTTTCAGGGAAAAGGTGCCTTTTCCACAACCTCCTTCAGCTTAAAATATTCAGTATGCCAACGTGCCATATTTTGGCACCTAAAATCATGCTATGGCTTATTTTCCAGCTAGGTCTTATTTCCAGGGAAACAAGGTAGCTTTAAATGGCTCTGCCAGGCAGTACTCAAAGTGATAATAGGTCACTTCATCAGAACAAGGTAGAAAACCATCTGTCAAACATTGCTTATGCAAATAAAATTAAGAAATGGTTTATCTGGGCCGGCCAAGTGGCACATTGGTTAAGAGCTGGCTTGGGACGCCAGAGGGCCCCGGTTCGGATCCCACATATAAGGGCCAGTGACACTGCCCTCTACAGTTAAGATGCTGAACAACAGCTCAACCTGGAGCTGGGCTGCCGTGAGTCGCTGGCGACGGCACAGGCTGCAGTCCCTGCTGCAGTGGGTTGCCATGTGCTACCGTGTGCAGCCAGCGCCGCAGTGAGCGGCCGTCCAGAAGCCGGCGACTGATCTGCCTCGCCCAGGAAGAGCGCAATGATGGTGCCAACTTGGGCCAGTGAAGCAACGTCCTCCACAACTAGACTGAAGAACAAAATGACAGCAACTTGTCTGTTCCCCTTCCCCCAATTCCCCAGCGCTGTTCCCATCTGCCAATTCCCTAATAAAAAAAAAAAATCTTTAAAAAAAAGAAATGATGTATCAATCATAAAATCCTCATAGTAGTCTACTCTTATTTTCTCCTATTTCTGTAAATTTTAAACCCATCTTTTATTGTGATTAAAGTAGGAAATGCAAGACAAAGGTTTAAAGAGATAATACCCCAGTGGTGTTTATTCCCATGAATCATTACCTACTATCTATCAAACAGCACATGCAAACATAACAGCAGCACTGTCCCATCAGGCGCTGGACACTGATTATCTCTAAAGAGGGGTCACATGGTTCAGGGCAATCCTGGCTAGCAGCCTTTCTGGGCCCTGGGGTCCATGAGGAAGGAATACTTCCATAAGGCCTTCTGTCTCAACCAGCTGTGGAAGGAACTCTCTGAAAAGGCCTGGCAGCTCAGTAGGAAGCCAAGTCAGCTGATGTGAAGGCCACCACTGCAGTCAGCAGGGTGGGGTTGTTAGCAACACTGCAGGAACTAAAGCCAGCACACAGCACACAGGAGGGATTAGAATGAAGAACAGATGTTTTTTAGCCACCTTCCTCCTGACAGTGATGGGAGAGCCCACCAGGGGATTGAATTTCAACTCAACACAATTGAAGTAGGCCCGCCTGTTACACACTAGGCCCACACGCCCACCTTCCCCTCCCAGCACCCCCAGAGCCATAACCCTGAACAGATCTCACAAAATCACAGTAAATCATAATGAGCATCAAATGTAAAAGCAGCCAATGTTCTCCCAATTTAATGGGATCATCTCCAACATTCATATAAAACACATTCTAGTTTCACATCATTTCCCACAGCTAACTGCCTCATGGGGCAGGGAATACCTTTATTCCCATGTTACAGTGTTAAGCCTTAGCCAAGGCTCCCATCAGCAGAGGAACCCAGCCCTCAGACCTGCTCGTCTAAGCCCCCAGTCTTGCTGCGTCCCATAGGGCACAGCCTCCTGGTCTGTGGTCCATGGGTCTGTGGTCCAGCTGGTCCTTCACTTTTGACCAAGTAAACTTATTCTTAAAGTGACCCTTAAGGGTTTTGGGGTCTCTAAAGTGGGAGCAATATCAGTGTCCTAGGAGGAAAGTACTAGGCAAACCCTCAGTAACAGTTCACACCCTCTTCCAAACCTTAGTCAGCAAGAACTAAATGAGCAAGAAGGCAAGCTGAGAGGCAGCCTCCAGTATCGGCCCCTCAGAGCAGGGCCCTCTGCTTTCATCCTTCATGGTCCGTAAACCTACCTGCCAAGGGGCAGAGCTGGGGCCACAGGGGCTGGCAGGGGCTGCCTCCCAGTGGGTACACTGCTGAGGGAGGCTGCTCTGTCTGTCAACCACTGGGGCCTCCTGCATGTCTGGCACACCCCTCAGCCAGGCCCCACTAGAGGAAAGGGTCCGTTAGCTTTAGTTTAAAAAGTGAGCACTGCACAAAGGCTTGCCCTGGGATTTCTGAAAAATATCCAAAGAGCCTGAATGGAGGGAACATACAGTGCCGGCCAAAGATGGCTCCAACCAGACCCAACCACAGCAACTTCTAAGTCTCCAGAGCAGCGTCTGGAAGAGGGAGTAGAAGCCAGTGGAGACAAGGAAAAGGCCACAGGACAGAGACGGGGATGTCAACAGACTGGCCTTCCACCTTCCTGATGCCAAAGCCCTGTCCTCATGCAGGCCTTCCTCCTCGTGCCTGTCAGACCGGATACATACCATGCTGCTGGAGTGATTCAGGAGCATTTTATTTTCAGAGTCTCTCTGGGACAGAACCAAGGACTTCCCTGTGGCCAAGGTAGCCACAGGCCAGGGGCCTTAGTCCTGGGCACTGGCTTTCAGAGTTGCCTTGTACTTCCCTGTCATCTCCTTGGGTAATGGCACCAGGGCTGGGCAGGGCACCTGCCCTTCCACCTCACAGATGCACTCCCGCAGGCAATACTTTCGGGGTCCAAAGTGGGCTGGATGAGAAAGCTGCTTTTTCTCCTGCTCCTCTTTCTTGAGGGTTTCCCTGCCGAAGAGCACAGACAGCAATGAGGTGTTGGCAACACTGATCTGAGCCTCTGGGAAGTGCAGGACTTCTCAGAGTGAACCCCACCATCAGCTCAGCCAGACAGACCTGGATCTCCTGTGCCTCCTAACCTGCTCCTTGCACCCAAAGCCTGTCCCTCCTCTCCCCACGGGCCTCCCAGAGGAGGGAGAATGGAGGAGAAAGCAGTGTCAGGCCCCAGGGGCGGCCATCACCTGGGAAGCACACTCGCCCCAGACCCACACAGCGGTGGTCAGCTTTCAACAAGGGGCGGCTCCAGCTCTGACTCCTTGGTCAATCAGGATAAAGGGGCCTAGAAAAGCCTGTTTGCTTTCTCAAAAACTGACATTCTTGGCTTCCCTCCCTTCTTTCCTCTATGGAAAGAAAAAGGACCTGTCACCACAGGCCCTAGGGCTGGACACCCACTAACTCCAAGCTGAGATTCCAAGAGGGACATGTTTCCGGCCACGCGGGGCAAGCATTTCAGCTGCATCTCAGCTTCCCACTGACCCCAGGAGGGAGGGATGACCTTTACCCCCACTTCACAGCAGGAGTTCCAGCTTACATAAGCTCAGTGACATATGGTCACACATCTGGTGAGAAGCAAAGCCCGATGGAGTGGACTCTCCAGCTCACACTCTCTAGTGAGTGTGGCTCGCTGTCGGAGAGCCTGCCCTCTTGACACCCCTCCCAACACACCCTTTTCCTCTCTCTCAAACTCTATGGGCTAAGATGTTTGCTCCCCTCCAGGTCAATATCAGCAACTCACTCATTCTTGCCCAGGATTTTTTTTATGTGCTCCATGATCTCCTTATTGCTCTTGGTCTCCACATCCACAAGGACCTGCTCACCGGAATCTGCAAACAGGAAATAAAGGGGGAAGAAAACCTAAGAACTCGGCAGCATGCTTTTCAGCCTCAAATGGTGATGATTTGGGATTTGCTTTTCGTGGAGAAATATTTTAATAATAAAATATATTTGTTTATGTAATGCATAATGCTACCCTTTTCCCCCCCATATTTCTTTGCATAATGCTACCTTCCCCCCCCCCCCGTGTTTCTTTAGAAATCAGCAAATTTTAGGCATGTACAAAAGCAAACTGTTTTAATAGAAATTCCATGTACACAGATAGAAACATTCAATGTTATCATTAACATGGCAATCCTCCCCAAACTGGTCTATAGATTCAGTGCAGTCCCTATAAAAATCCCTCAGGTGTTTGTGTAGAAACTGACAAGCTGAGCCTAAAATTCATGCCAAGGACCCAAAACAATTTGGAAAAACAAGAAAATGGAAGAATGTTCATTTTCCAATTTCAAATTTACAATAAGCTACAGTAAAGTTATGTGGTTAGAGTGTCAGAATAGACTACGAGTACCAGAACAGAACCGAGCCCCAATATAAATCCTTGTATTTATGGTCAGTTGATTTTCAGCAAAGATGCCAAGACAATTCAATGAGGAAGGATAGTCCTTTAAACAAATGGTGTTGGGACAACTGGATATCACCATGCACATAAATGAATTTAGACCTTTACACCTCACATTAAAAAAAGAAAAAACTTAAAATGGACCAGAGAGCTAAATGTAAGAGCTAAAAGTTTTATAAAACTTTTTGAATAGAAAATCTTTATAACCTTACCTAGGCAAAGATTTTTAGATGTGACATCAAAAACATCCATAGAGAAAAATCTGATAAACTGAACTTAATCAAAATTCAAATTTTATGCTTCAAAAGGTGCCATAAGCCATAGACTGGGATATAATATTCATAATGCCTACATCTGATAAAGGACTGGTATCTCAACTATATAAAGAATTCTCACAACTCAATAAGATTCCAACTAAAAAGTAGGCAAAATATTTGAACTTCTTTTTTTAAATTTTTATAAGTTTATTTTAAGCCTAACAACATATGCCAGGAAGCTAGAACTCAAATGCCCCTTGAATAAACATTTTTTAAAAAGCTAGTAAGTCCATGAAAAGATACTCAATATCTTAGTCATTAGGAAAATGAGAAAACTGAAGATACAGTTAGATAGAGTGGCTAATTTTTTTTTTTAGATGGACTACCAAGTGCTAGTGACGATGCACAGTAACTGGAACTTTCCTATATTACTGGTAAAAACAAAATATTACAGCCAATTTAGCCAGTGAATAAAGACCAAAAAAAAAAAAAAAGAATGGAAAGGAAGGGAAAAAGTAAAACTATTTGCAGATGACATGATTGTATATGTACAAAATACTTAAGAATTTAGAAAATAAAACTACAAGAAATAAGTGAATTTATAGCAAGGTTGCAAGACACAAAGCCCATATACAAAAATCAACTACTTCTGTACAAAGTTGTTTCGTGTTAACCAAAAGGCTGCAAAATAAAATATTTAAAATACCACTTACAGTAGTCACAAAACATATACTCAATAAGGTTAAAATAGCCATTCTCCTCAAAATGATCTATGTTATTCCAATCAAAATCCCGGCAAGCTTTTTTCTAGAAACTGACAAGCAAATCTTTTTTTTTTTTTTAACATTTTATTGGGGAATTGGGGGAGGGGAACAGCACTGGGGAATTGGGGGAAGGGGAACAGACAAGTTGCTGTTGGTTTCTTCTTCAGTCTAGTTTTTGGAGGATGTTGCTTCACTGGCCCAAGTTGGCACCATCATTGCACTCTTTCCGGGCGAGGCAGATCAGTCACCAGCCTCTGGACGGCTGCTCACGGCGGCTGCTGGCCGCTCACACTGGCTGCCGGCTACACATGGTAGCCCATGGCAACCCACTGCAGCAGGGGACTGCAGCCTATGCCGTCGCCGGCAACCCATGGCAGCCCAGCTCCAGGTCGAGCTGTTGTTCAGCATCTTAGCTGTAGAGGGCAGTGTCACTAGCCCTCATATGTGGGATCCGAACCGGGGGCCCTCTGGTGTCCCAAGCCAGTTCTTAACCAACGGGCCACTCGGCCGGCCCTGACAAGCAAATCTTAAGCGTTTCTATGGAAATGTGAAGAACCTAGACCAGCTTAAGTAATTTTGAAAAAAAAAGTTGGATTTATACTACCTGATCTTCACACACAGCTACAAAAACCAAGACACTGGTATTATAGTGTAAGGACAGACTCAGATCAGTGAAAGAGGATGAAGAGAACAGAAATATATGGCCAAGTGATTTTTCTGTATGTGGTAAATTACACGACATGACATTTACCATTTTAACCATTTTAAAGTGTATAATCTGGTGGGTTTTGGTATATTCAAAATGTTGTGCAACTATCACCATTTCCAGAACTTTCTCATCACCCCAAACAGAAATCCTTTACCAATTTAACAGTCACTTGCTATTCCCCACACCACCCTACTCCCAGCCCCTGGCAACCAGTTTGTCTCTATGGACTTGCCTATTCTGGACATTACATATAAATGGAGTCATACAATACACTGCCTTTTGTGTCTGCCACCTTTCACTTAATATTTTCAAGGTTCACCTGTGTTGTAGCATGTGTCAGGACTTCATACCTTTTCATGGCTGACTGTACGGATATACAGGCATTTTACTTTTCCACTCATGATCGACTGAGTTTTGACAAAGATGCCAAGGAAATTCAGTAAGGGAAATAACAGTTTTTCAACAAATGGTGCTATAACAATTTAATATCCCAAATCAAAAAAAACAAAAATGAACCTCAATCCCTAGACTCACTTAATACACAGAAAATAAACTATAGTGCATAAACCTAACTATAAAATCTAAAACTATAAGCCTTCTAAAGGAATTAGTGGAGAAAAATCTTTGCAACCTTGGGGTATGCAGCGATTTCTTGGAGGACACAAAAAGCACTAAACAGAAAACAACTGATAAGCTGAAGTTCATCAAAACTAAAAACTTTTGCTCTTCAAAAGACGCCATTAACGAAAAGCAATCTACAGACAGAAAAAATATTCACAATATATATATCTGGCAAAGGAATTGCATCCAGAATATGTAAAGAACTTAATAAGAAAACAAATAGCCCAGTTGTTTTCCAATGGACAAAGATACAGACTCTGCAAAAGAAATATATGAATAGCCAATAAGCACTTGTAAAGTTACTCATGGGAAATGCAAATTAAAACTTTTATGAGATATGCGCCCATTGGAAAGAGTAAATTTTAAGACAATATGGTGAGCAGAATAACAGCCACCAAAGATGTCCTTGTCCTAATCCCCCCAAAACTCTGAATATATCACCTTATGTGCCAAAAGGGACTCTTCAGATGGAGATGGGGAGATTATCCTAGAGAATCTGGTGGGCTCAATTTAATCACATGGTCCTGAAAATTGGGAAAACTGTCCAGGCTGTAGTCAGAGGGGTATGTGACTATGGAAGAATGGCCAGACATAGAGTGTCGCTGGCTTTGAAGACTGAGGAAGGGGCCACATGAAAAAGAATGTGCGAGGGGGCCTCTGGAAGCCAGAAATGGAAATGGGTTTACCCCTAGAGCCTTCCAGGCTCTGCTGACACCATTTTAGTCCAACTTCTAACTGACAGAACTTAAGAAATCTGTGTTGTTTTAAACCACCAAGTTTGTGGTAATTTGTTACAGCAGCCACAGGAAAGAAATACAACTAACAATACCAGTGTGGGCGAGGATGTGGAGCCACCAGGACTCACACCCTGCTGCCTGGAGGGTAAGAGTGTCAATCATTTTGGTAACCCGTGTAGCAGTCTCTACAAACATTACAGACCTATTCTGTGACCCAACAATCCCATCCTGATGCATAGGCCCAGGAGAACTGAGTGCCTGTGTCCACAAAGACGACTTGTGCAAGGTACTGACAAGCACCTTATCTTATACAAAAACTAGAACAACCCTTGGCAGCCCAGGGAGCTCCGACCACTCAAACCTCTCTGGGAGCGAGGCCTCCTGTGTGGAGCAGCCAGCAGACAGCCCAGCTGTTGTGTTTTTGGGGCCCACCACAGCAGCGCTGAGCCGTGCTGAGGCTCTCCCTGGCCTTGTCTAGGATCTGGCCATTTCTGCCCAATGCGATGCTACAACTTCCCCTGGGCAGGCCCTGGCTTTCTGAGAGCTACGTCACCATCTGAGGCGCCTCCTGTCCAGACCTCCTTCCTTCTCTCTCTCCTTTCAGAGATGTCAAACCTGCTTTGCCATCTGATGACGGCCCCTGCCACTCCTCTTCCAGCTCCTTGTATCTCCAATAAATATACTTCTGTTTTGGCATCTTAACAAAACCCCAGATGTTCACCAACAGGTGAATGGATAAACAAACTGGTATATATTCCTATAATGGACTACTACTTAGCAATAAAAATGAATAAACTGATACACATAACGTGGATGAATCTCAAACATGTGAGTAAAAGCCAGACACAAGAATATATACTGTGAGATTCTATTTATATGAACTGCTGAAACAACATTTATCTATGGTAAAAGAAACCAGAACAGCGGTTGCCTGTGGTGGAAGGGGGAAGTAACTGGAAAGGAGCACTAGAGGCCTCTCTGGAGTAACAGAAACGTTCACTTTCATTGGGAAAGTGGTGACACAGGTACATAAATGTCAGAATTCATCAATCTATGCATATTAGACCTGGGAATTTATTATAGGTAAATTATACCTCAATAAACCTAATTTTTTTAAATGCAAACACAAAATACATATACAAAATTGCCATACCACCACCATTCTCTTCACCCACACCTACTTGCTCTTTTTTTTCATAGCACTCATCTTCTAACATACTATCTTGTTAAGTTTCTTGTTCATTCTGTCTCCTCCTGCTAGGGTACCATCTCTACAAGGGCAGAGATCTTTCTATGGCTCCCCGACACCCCAAGTCCCTAGGACAGTACCTGGGTCCTAGCAGACACTCATTATATATTTGCTGAATGATCCAGCCATTTCTGGTCAGAAAGAAAATGAAAGAACATCATCATGTTTCCTGAAGCATTTCCCAATCTATACTTCATTTGATTCCCTTCACCATGTAAGGTAGATGTTTTGCCTTTACTTGTGAAATAAAGCAATGGGACTGGTACTCACTCTGAGTCAGAATGGCTGAGTATAGAGCTGAGCCAAAACACTTGGTCTTCTTTTGACTTCCGGGCACTGAGCCCAATTTAACTGAATAAATGTTCACTTGGTCCAGAGACATATGCAGACATACACTTTTCAAGAGAATGTGGTCAGCACGAAGGGAGGGGCTTTGGGAGATGGGGGAGGGCAGATCGAAGGGTTCAGGGAAGGATTCCTGGGAGAAGTGCTACCCAAGCTGAGTCTTGAAGGACTAAATAACAATAAGCAAATGAGGTAGAAGGGGGAGTCCGGCAGAAGGACCAGCATGAGCAAAGGCATCAGAGCAAGGGGTGGCAAAGGAATTGGGGAAAATCAGCCTGTGTGGTGTGAGGCATGTAGGAGACGGGGGCGCAACAGAAGACAAGGCTGGGGAGGGAGGGAGGAAGGAAGAAGAGTTCAGATCTCAAGGGCCACGAGGCACCACGGTATGGGAAGCCAGGGTGATGGGTTTATAGGAGCTTGTGCCTCCGATCACCTGACGGCTGCGGGAGGAGGAACAGATGGGAGGGAAAACAGTCCTGGACCCAGGAGAGAGGCCCCGCACTCACCTAAATAGAATCGAAGGAAGGGTGATGGCGTCATGTTCTTAAACATCACGATCTGCACCCAAGGGTTTTTGTATTGGATCTGAGGTATGTTGAAAAACACAAATTTCCTGCAAAAGGGAAGAAATTAAACCCATGAAACAGGAATTATTAACCTCAAATTTTGCATACCTGTGTATTTTTCTAGGAAAAAGGTCCAGCATGTTCATCAGATTCTGAGGATGCTACCCCCCCCCACCCCCCACACAAAAGGCTGAGAAGGGAAGCTCTGAGGAATGTGTTGTTATGTTCTCTGAGCGTGGGTGTCCAGACTCCTGGTTTGTCAGCTGAGGGAAAAGATATCTGCATCTTTACCTCACGTTGCACACTAACCTAAAACACCAAAGCAGAAGTGTAAATGTAAAAATGAAACTATGGAACGTCCTCAATCTTGATTTGTGTAGTTACATGGGTGTATGCATATGTAGAATTCAGCGAGCTGTGTACTTACAGGTGTGCCCTTCATATAGATTATACTGCAATTTAAAAATAAATGAAAGCATGAAAACAAACATGCGGAATATTTGTACAATCTAGAGGTGGAAAAACCTTTAAACTTAAAAGGTTTAAAATATAGAATAAATATAACTACATTAAGACCTTTTCATGGCAAAATTCACCAAAAGCAAATTCAACATTTGCCAAACCAAAGGAAAACTGTTTGTGAAACACAAAACAAAAGGCTAATTCCCTTGTGACAGAGAGTTTTACACATCACTAATAAGACTGACAATTGAACAAGAACAAAGGGCAAAGGCCACAAATAGACAGAAACCAAATGGCGTACCATCAGGTGAAGAGATTCTCAGTATCTTCCCAATCAAGTCATGTAGGTTAAAATAGGATTCTTTTTCACCTCTTAGATTGCTAAAGGTTTTTGGGGTGGTTTTTTTTTTGGTTTTTTTAAAGTCATAGACATGAGTAAACATTTCCTTAAGGATATAAATTGGTTTAACCTCTTTGGAGGTCGGTTTGGAACTAGCAAAATTTTAAAAGCATAGCTCCTGACTCAATTTCACTTCTGCTTTGAGATATTTGCACATTTGAATGCAAAGACATGTGAGGTTCACTACAGTATTTGTTACAGCCGAGGAACAGAATCATAAATGATAAATGCCCCTCAACAGAGGACTGATTAAATAAATTAAGATACAACCATATGTCTGGATCCTTCTCCACCTGCTCTTCGTCCTAAATGGCTAACCTACGTGGACCATGGAAATGGGCTTTCTTGCCCTCAGTATTCTGTTGTGTTCAGCCAACGGGAAGCACTGGCAAAACACTGGAAGGAGGAGGGAACAGAGTCAAGGTATTTCCCTGGCTCGTTCCCTGAGTCCCAGGCTCCTATCAGGCCGGTCTCTCCATCTCCGGGTTCCAAAAGTCACTCTCCCCATCACTTCTGCAAGCCTAGACCTGGTCTTGCACAATTCCTTGTGGTTTCTTTTCCCATCCTCCCCCACAGCTTTGTAAATGGTCCATTAATTAAAAGCTCCCAAATGTTCCGAATTTAAATGCACCCTAGGCTTCCTGCGGCCACCTTGCCCCACACACGAGACCATGGAAAGATGCAAGTGGTACATGGGACAGAAGCACAGTCGCCATACTTGACCACTTCCCAGCTCTATGACGCAGGGCAAGTTAGTGCCCTGTGCTTCAATGTTTATGCAAGATGATGGCGATGCAGGACAAGCAGTCCAGACTAGAGCTGGCAGTCTATTTCCAAGAAGATGAAATTGGCAGAATCAACAGAAAGCCTGGTTGTGTGACCGTTTACTTGGGGACACTTCCGTAACTAGGGCAGAGTCTGCAGTTGAAACAAAAGCAATGACAATTATGAACCCCAGGGAGAAAAAAAACCTTTGCGAAAACAAAAAGGAAAAATAATCAACACTCTATTGGGCTCAACCATGTATACTATTCACAAACTTATATTAAACAGTGAATAGTGATCTATCCAAAATTCTGAAATGACTGTATCGATGGGGAGAGGGGGCGGGATCAGGCAGAATGCATGTGTTGAGGGTGGGGAATGGCTACGGTAGTGAAAGAGATAAACCACCTTCCACAGTGACAAGACACTAGGTAATGCCTAAAGCTAAGAAAGAAGGAGCTCTCTAAGTACAATAACTATATGGAGGCAAAACTCTAATAATAGTTAGAGTTGAAAGTTGTTACTAGGGGAGGAAGTAGGAACAGGGTGCTACTACAAGCGCTGCCAACCAGGACAGAACACAGGGCTGCAAGCTCAAAGGCTCAATTTACCTTCCTGGGCTTAGGACGCCTCTGCTCACTTCCCACCCCATAGCCGAGTATCCCAACATCCCAGAGCTTTGTACAAATGAACCAGGGCATTTCCATGTAGGAATTTCTCACACTAAAAACTAGGACCAGGATTCTACAGGATTTTAAAATAGTTCTTGCAGCCGAGTGGCTCAGTTGGTTAAGAGCTCACTTAAGAGTTTGAGCTCTGAGCAACAGCAGTTTGATGCCGGGCCCGAGCTGAGCTGCCGCTGAGCTGCCAACAGGTGACAGGATGGCTCAGCTAAAAATAAATAAATAAATAAATAAATAAATAAATAAATAAATAGTTTTTGCTGAAGCATGGGAGGAAAGTTCATAATGGTAAACTTTAGTTGAGCATCTGCTGTATATGCTAGACATCTTACTTGGTACTTTATACTCAAATACAGTGACCCTGGAAGGCAGGGTTTTACAACTAAGGCAGTCAGAAACTGCCTTAGTAAACTGTAAGTAAACTGCCCTATGTCAACAACTAGTGCATGAAAGAACCGGGGCTGTCATTAGCATCTGGCTTTCTTCCACACTGTTCTGTCACTATCAAATTATCCAACTCACCTAGGCTCAGGGTTGGACACAGAACTCAATAAATGCTAGCAGCTTTTACTTCTCTTATTGCATCTTAGAGGCAAGAACACCTGGCACAGGTGAATAGAGGCTTAGCCCTGAGGCAATGAATAAGGCAGCTCCTCACACGCCCAGCAGATACCCAAGGTTATGGCTACCCCAGGGCTGCAGCACTGGCCACTGGCACTTGGAAGGGAAGAAGGGACAGCTGAAATGCTGAGGGCACCTGAACAAGCAAAGGCCTGAGAGAGAGCAAGTCAGGCAGGCTCAAACCCAAAGGCACGAAATCACAAAAAGGGCACAGAATGGCTGTTTGTATCCTATTTACCTAGTGGGTATTAAAATACCTGAGCAGTAGAGTATAAGGCCTTGCAGGCTTATTTTGATTGGTTGACCATTTAAATATGAAAGATTTACGTGAAAACCTAAACTTTGCAACAAATCTGAAATTCTCCTGGAGCTGACACAGCTAAACATGAGACAAGGCATGTTTTCCAGTTCATGCAGACACATCTAGCCTGCCTCCCTCCTTCCCAGTACCTGCCTGGCCTCTGCCCTCGGACGCCTTGTGGATGGACAGTGGGTTATGGACTATCTTGGTGCCCATCCACCCCTAAGACTAAGTCTTCCAAGAAGCCTTCATCCCAGCTGACCCCATGCAAGCAGGTCCAAGTTCTTGGGTTCACCTATGGAAAGCAAACAGCTAAGAGGTAGCTGGTGGCTATATGACAGCCCTGCAGTGAAGGCCTCTGTCCCTGAGGGATCACCCTTCACAGGGAGCTGCTCTCAGAGCTACTCTCACATCCTATTCTGATCCATTCCACACACCCAATCCCAAAGTGTGTGAAGGACAGGACTCTTTCCTTAGTCACTGTTGAATTCCCAACACACAGCACAGGACCTAGCACTCAGCAGGCACTCAATAAATTTATACTTAATACCAGAAAACCTCAAGACTGTTACCTCAAGTTTCAACTCAAACCTTTCACTAGCAAGCTTCCATTCAATGACTCCTTACTCTCTGTGCCAGGCTGAAAACCACTGTGTTTAAGGGGGTGGGGGCGGTCCTGCTGCTACACAGCTGAGAGGCACTTAATTATGAAGGTGAGGAGTCCTGCAAAAAACAAGTACTTTCTGAGCCACCACTCACCAGCTGGCAGTGGTACCCTGGACAAGCACGTTAACCTACCTCTCTCTGCACTTCCTCATCCTCAGAGTGGGGATAACAATGGGGTTTCTATCAAGCTTGAGAACGCACCAGAAGCATTCAGAACCACAATGCACATGTAAGTACTCAATAAATGTTGGCAGCTGTTGTTACTTCTCTCACTGCATCCCCAAATCTGCCCTGGGACACTGGTATCATCCCATTTGGGGCACTGAGCAACTCGCCCAGAGCCAGCAGGTGGAACGAGAACCCGAACCAGGTCAGTCGCCCTGGGCTGGGCTCCATCCAGACGCCGTGCCACCCCTCCCCACCGCTGGCCTGTGGGGCACAGGTGGTAAAGGAGACTGTGGCCTCCCCGCGTTAACCTCCTCCGCTCTCCCACCTCGGCCGGCAGGACGTGGCCCTGCCGTCCTCGTGGAACCTGGAGCGAGCTGCTCCTCAGTCTCCTTGTCTGTCAAATGTGCGCAACAGCACCACCCTCAAGGAGCCAGCCCCAGGATTCAGCGCAGCCCCAGGTCTCCACGTTACTAGCACGTTGTTACAATCACCGAGGGCGACCGCACAGGGCTCGGACTGACCTGGCGCCCTCGCCCAGCTCCCCATGCGTGTTGTAGTTCACCGTCATGACCTTCACCGACTCCTTGAACACCACGTCCCCCTGGCCCAGGTACTGCAGGGTGCGGCGGATCGGGAAGCGGCCCTTCATGAGCATGGCGGCGGTGGCGGGGCCGCGAGGCGAGCGGCGAGGACAGACCGGGGCAACACACGCCGCAGCCCGCGGACCTTGAGCCGCTTCTCCTCCACGCAGTTTTCACTTCCCGCGCAGACTCACAGGAAATGCCTCCCGGCGGGCCCCGCTCCTGCTGCGGGGCAACCTGGAACTTGTAGTCCTGGCTGGCGGTGCTTTGAGGCGGGGATTGGGGTGGCGGTGTGTACAACTTCGCTTTGGAGCGCCTTCCTCCTGAAATGTTTTCATGCTCTGTAGATTCCTCTTTCTCCCCGCCAAGGAAAAATATTTTTAAAGAGGCTCAAACGCAATCATTCAGACAACAAAATTACAGCGGGGAATTCATCAGGAGAGCTGAGTTCTGATACCAAGTCGGCTAATAACTTTTTTTTTTTTCCTCAAAAAAAGTTTAGTGAGGACATGGCACTACTATTTTTTAAATCCTGGTGCATTCAAGGTAAGTGGTCTTGGTACAGGATACAATCAAATCGTGAAATATATATCAGTGATTTTTATACTGAGTCACCTCCTTAATATAAAGGTACATTTTACTGAATAAAAAAATAAGTGTTAAGTTCTTGAGCTTTTAAATTAGAATTTCATAAAGTGCTCTTCATAAAGTTTTATATATTACAGTAGTTAAGTGGATATAATTCCCTTAACAAAGGCACCTTTAAAAGTATTGGCACATAGCATTTTGTCTTGCCTTTTTTCCTTTTAATTTGGTAATTTCAAAGTTTCTTCACGTGTCTTTTTTTCCACTTTGTTTAAATTTTCCTTAACAGTTCATCATCTAAATACCCAACCCTGTTACAGAATAAGGTGAACTTTAACCTGTCATGTTAAAGGTCAAGTTTTAAGTGGTTTTAGGAGTTGAGCAATTTCTTTAATGTATAAACTGATTCTTATATTCAAGTGGCAAATTTAAAGCCAATACACTAATGCAGAGTCCATGAATTGAGCTGGTGTTTTAAATACATGTTTTATTTCCAAGGTTTTCTGCTGTTTTCTCAGGACCATCTGGATATAAGTTGATAGCTGTCACAGCTATAACATTAACTTTATCCAACTGAAGAATTTCTTTGTATTCACAAACTGGGAAAAGCACCTTTAAGACGGTTATTACTACAGCTGCTCCTGTAATTCCAACCACCATGATGTTCAGAAACAAAGAATTCTGAGGAAAAACTGCTCCAGAACCTACACAGCTCTTTTCTGGACTTTTCCATCCACGGACACACCTTATATGAAGCTGGAGGCTCTGCTCTGAGAAAAGTTTCAGGTAATTTGCCAGGTAAAGTGTCTTCATCTACAGTGGGCTCCACATTCCTGATAAGTAATGGCTGGTAGTCTGCCCTGAACTAACACTTTCTACTTTTTTGGAGCAGTTGGGAAGGGTAAATAAAATGTCATCATCTCAGGAAATGGGGTACAGCATATCTTTCTTCCAAAGGTAGCATGTAGTTTGAATGCCTGAGTATTCCCTGGTTCTTAACTAAAATATCGATTTCAGGAACATTCTTTTGTTGAGTTCATTTTCCATCCATCTCTACTACCTCTTCTTGAATGACAGTTAGTTGCAAACTGGAACCAGATGTCATAGGCCACTGATGCACTAAAATCCTCACACTGACAATTCCAAAATATTCTTTTTCCTCCAGATTCTCAAGATTTTCATTCTTTGCTATCAAAGTCTGACAGCTTATTTGAGTTACACCACTGTTTACAGGGAAGTCACTTACATATATACCTGTCCACTCTCATAGGTTATGTTAAGAATAACCTGTTTTTTAGATACTTCCCCATCATCTTTCAGGGTAGTTACATTAATTCTAATGCTGTCCCTTGGGGCTCGCAGTGGCGGCAGCGGTGGCTCAGGGGTGCCAGTCTTCAGTCACCCAGCAGCAGGCAGCAGCCTGAGCAAGGGCCTCACGAGGACAAGTGGCGCCACCGGAGCATCCTCCATCTTGGACTGGGCCAATAACTTTTTATTCAGCCTCATATAAATCTGTTTTTCTCTCTCTTAATTTCTCCAGTTTCCAAATGAAGGGTTCAAACTGTGCAATTTCTAACATTGACTAAAAATACTGACTTACAAAAGAAAACAGAAAAAATTTGGATACACCCCTTCCAGGTTTAGCCACTTAACAGCTCTTGACCTCAGTTTTTTTCATAAAAAAAACATAGATGAGGGCCGGCCAAGTGGCTCAGCTGGTTAAGTGCTCGCTCAAGAGTTTGAGCTCTGAGCAACAGCGGTTCGATGCCCGGCCCGAGCTGAGCAGCCGCTGAGCTGCCAACAGGTGGCAGGATGGCTCAGCTTAAAAAAAAAAAAAAGTAAGATGGGATGCACTTCTGAAGTACTACTCTTATCGTAAAACATTTTTATTTCTCTTTTTCCCCCAACTTTAATTTTTTTTTTCAATTACAGTTGACATACAATATTATCTTACCTGCAGATGTCCGACATAGCAATTAGACATTTATATAACTTAAGAAGTGATCACCCCGATAAATCTAGTATCCATCTGACACCTGCATCTAATAACACATAAGTTATTACAATATTATTGACTATATTCCCTATATTGTACTTTACATCCCCATGACTATTTTGTAACTACCAATTTGTACTTCTTAATCCCTTCCCTTTTTTCACCCATCCTCCTAAACCCCCTCCCATCTGGCAACCATCAAAATGTTCTCTGTATCTGTGAGTTTGTTTCTGGGGGTTTTTGTTCATTTATTTTGTTGTTTCGATTCCACATATAAATAAAATCATATGGGGGCCGGCCAAGTGGCTAGGTTGGTTAAGAGCTCGCTCAAGAGTTTAAGCTCTGAACAACAGCGGTTCGATGCCCGGCCCGAGCTGAGCTGCTGCTGAACTGCCAGCAGGCAGGATAGCAGGATGGCTCAGCTAAAAAAAAGAAAAAAAAATCATATGTTACTTGTCTTTCTCTGTCTGACTTACTCCACTTAGCACAATACCCTCTAGGTCCATCCATGTTGTTGCAGATGGCAAGATTTTATTCTTTTTATGGCTTAGTAATATTTCAGTGTATATATGTACCACCTCTTCTTTATCTGTTCATCCATTGATGGACACCCAGGTTGCCTCTATATTTTGGCTATTGTAAATAATGCTGCAATAAACATATGAATGCATATGTCCCTTCAAAGTAGTGTACTGGGTTTCTTTGGATAAATACACAGAAGTGGAATTACTGGGTCCTTCTTTATCTCATTATAGCCTTTGTTTTAATGTCTATTTTGTCTAAGTATTGCTGTTCCAGCTTTTTTGTTTGTTTTCATTTTCATAAAATATCTTTTTCCATCTCTTTACTTTCAGTCTGTGTGTGTCTTCTGATCTGAAGTAAGTCTCTTATAGGCTGCATATGTAAGGGTCTTGTTTTCTTATCCATTTAGCCATCTCTGTCTTTTGATTGGAGCATTTAATCCATGTACATTTCAAGTAATTGTTGGTAGATATGTAGTTATTACCATTTTATTCATATTTTTAAATCTCTCCTCCTCCTCCACCTCCTCCTTCTTCTTCTTTAACAAGTCCCTCAATATTTCTTGTAGTACTCATTTGGTAGTGATAAACTCCTTTAGCTTTTTCATGTGTGGGAAACTATTTGTCCTTCAATTCTAAATGATAGCTTTGCTGGGTACAGTAATCTTGTTTTTAGGTCTTTGCTTTTTGTTACTTTGAATATTTCTTGCCAATTCTTTCTGGCCTGCAAAGTTTCTGTTGAGAAATAAGCTGACAGCCTTACGGGGGCTCTCTTGTAGGTAAACTAAATGCTTTTCTCTTGCTGCTTTTAAGGTTCCGTCTTTGTCTTTAACCTTTGGCATTTTAATTATGATGTGTCTCAGTGTTGGCCTCTTTGGGTTCATCTTGTTTGGAACACTCTGTGCTTCCTGGGCTTGTGTGCCTATTTCCTTCACCAGGTTATGGAAGTTTTCCATCATTAATTTCTTCAAATAGGTTTTCAATTCCTTGCTCTCTCTCTTCTTCTGATACCCCAGTGATGTGAATGTTGGTATGCTTGAGGTTGTCCCAGAGGCCCCTTAAATATCCTCATTTTTTTGGATTCTTTTTTCTTTTTGCTGTTCTGATTGGGTGTTTTCTGCTATCTTCTAAATCACTGGTTCGAATCTCTGCTTCATCTAATCTGCTGTTGATTCCCTCTAATGTATTCTTTATTTCGGTTATTATATTCTTTATTTCTGCTGGTTCTTTTTTCTTTCTATCCCTATTTTTATGTTTCCTATCTCTTTTTTGAAGTTCTCACTGAGGTCATTGAGCATCCTAATAACCAGTGTGTTAAACTCAGCATCCGGTAGATTGCATCTCCATTTTATTTAGTTCCTTTTCTGGAGTTTAGTTCTTTCATTTGAGATATATTTGTCTCCCCATTTTGGCTGCCTTCCTGCATTTATCTCTATGTATTAATTAGAGATGCTCTGTCTCCTAGTCTTGGTAGACTGGCCTTACATAGTAGGTGTCCTGTGGGATCCAGTGGCCCAGTCTCCCTGGTCACTTGAGCCAGTTGCTGTAGGTGTGTCCCTTGTGTGGTTTGTGTGTGCCCTTCTGTTGTAGTTGAGCCTTAGTTGCTCTTTGCATGTCAATAGGAGGGATTGACCCTCAGGCTAATTGATTGTGAAGACTGACCTTGACCTTGACCTAGTGGAAGAGCTGTTGAGCAGGGGCTGACCCTACAGAGCAGGATTTGAGTTAGCAGGACTCTGGTACTTGCCCAGTCTGCCCTTTGGGTGTGTCATCTGTGGAGGCAGCCAGGCAGTGCTCCCATGCTGTCTGAAGGTTACCGGGCGTGCCAGCCCTGAGACCTCTTGGGAGGGGCCCCACTACTGGCCAAGTTCAGCTTCCACCTGTGCCCTGCCCTGCGCCACTTGGCATGAATCACAAAGCAACCAACAGATGGCCACTGCCTGTGCTGGACTTGGAGGTGCCTAGGAGAGGCTAAGCTGCAAACCGAGGCACCTGCTGCCACCAGTGCCAGGCTTGGGACTGCTCACCAAGCGGTATGGAGCATGCCCAGGCTGCTTGTTTGGGGCTTGTGAACCTTTGAGAGATTTCAGGAAAGTCTGCAGCATGAGCCAAGACAGACCATCTTTTGTCATAATCTCTGGGTTTTGTCCCCTTTCCTGAAATAGCTCTGAAGAGATAAAAGTGAAAGGAGCATCTTTTGTTATTCATAACAAACTGGTCAACCGCAGCAGTTTTTGCAAATGAGATGACTTTTGGAAAGCCCCTAAGCATGGGGGCTAGTTGCCAGAACCATGTAATTAGAGGGCTGGAACTTTCAGCCCCATGCCCCCAACTTCTGACCTCTGGAGAAGGAACAGGGGCTGGAGGTTGAGTTAATCACTAATGGCCAGTGATTTAGTCAATCATGCCTATGTAATAAAGCCTCCATTTAAGACAAACAAACAAACATAAACAAAGAACCCTAACTGAAGGGCTTGGGAGAGCTTCCAGGTTAGTGAACACATCAAGGTGTTGGGAGTGGGGTGCCCAGAGAGGGCATGGAAGCTTGCACCCCTTCCCCCATACCTTGCCCTATGCCTCTCTTCCGTCTGGCTGTTCCTAAGTTGAATACTTTTGTAATTGACAATCTAGTAAGTAGACTGTTTTCTCAAGTTCTGTGAGCTATTGTAGCAAATTACCAAACTCAAGGAGGGGGTTGTGGGAACCCGATTTATAGCCGGTGGGCCAGAAACACTGGAGGCCCACACTTGTAAGTGGGATCTGAAATGCAGGCAGTCTTGTGGACTGAGCCCTTCACATGTGGGATCTGACAATAATTCCAGGTAGATAGGGTCAGAATTCAACTGGAGGACATCCAGCTAGTGTCCAAGAATTGGTTGGTGTAGGAAAAAGCCCATACATTTAGTGTGAGAAGTGTGTGAGTAATGGTGTTTATAGAAAAACAAGAGTTTTCTCTCACCCTTCCTTCACTTAGATAAGACTGGAAGGCTAGAAGGGTGGAGTGGGGAAAATGCCCTTCCCCCAGGTGGGATCAGACTCTGGTAAAGCATTTCCCCTATGGAAGGCTCTGAGTTTTTTTTACAAAGATTATGCATCCCCTTAGCCTGCCACATCCATCAGGGGATCTTTCTCAGCTCTTATCTGTGAAAACCTGGAGGAGTTCCTGGAGGTAAAACCCATGACAGTGTAGGGTCTCCCTTAGGCTGTGACCCCCAGGAGTTTCTCACTCTTGTACTAGTCCACACTCAGCCTCCAGCAATTCAGGTGTTCCTACCAACTATGGTTCCAGTGGCTTCCGCTTCAGGTAAGCAGATCTCAGCTGTGACTCTGGATTCACTTCTCTCTCCAGATTTTGAGGTAGCAGTATGCCCTGTAAACTCAGTTCTCTGATGGACCCAAGAAAAGTCACTGATTTTCAGTTTGTATAGCTTTTTCTTGTTGTAAGGACAGGAGTGACAACTTCCAAACTCTTCGCCTGAGCTGAAACCAGAAGTAAGCCCTTTCTGAAGTATTTTTAAAACTGTGCTAGGCTACTGAAGAGTTTTAGGCAGAAGAGCTTTGGATCTTCAAGTCCACAGGATGAAATACCCTGTCCCATGTTAGAAACGTAAGTGTCCATATACAAAGCAGACCAGGGCAGCTTGGGTTTTGGAGTCAGGCAGACCTGGGCTGGAATCCCAGTAGTATAACCCCGAGCCTGCTTAATCTCACCACACTCACTTTTTTCATCTGTAAACTGGGGTTGTTGGAAAGATTAAATGAAGTAATCCATACATTAATACTTAGCATTCTGTCTGCCCTCCAGTGAGAACTACATATGATCTCCTCCTGGTTTAGTAATCTACCCAGGGCCTGGCAAGGTGTTTCAAAGGCTCATGTGGTCAATACCAGACACCCACTCAGCAGCTCCCAACCTTTTTCCCCACTGCCCATTTCTGCCACCTTTGGGCCAGACACAATGCTTGAGCACTCCCACTATGCCTAACCCAGATCAAACCCTCCTTGCGACTTAGGGCAAAGTGGGTCAGGCTGACCAGGCTTTAAATCCTCATTCCACCACTGACTGGCTGTGTGACTCCAGCCAGGCTAACTTCTTTCAACCTGTTTTTTCATCTGTCAGATGAATACCCGAATAACTACCTCACAGGCCTGTTGGTAGCTGAACGAGGAATGTGTGAAAACGTACCAGTGCCTGGCACAAATGGCAGCCAATAGGTTCCTCAACCTCACCAGGCCTGTTTCTTCTAGTGTGAAATGGGGAGAATAGGATTAGAAATGATTTTACACTATACTTGTGTAAACGGTTCATTTAATCAATACTGCAGGAATAACTGGGGATAAGGGCAGAACTAGAATACACATTTATACCGATAAGAGTCCAGTGACCTTGATTCTGTCTGGAGGCCTTAACCAGACAAGAAAACACAGGAGCTGGGGTTATCTTCTGATACTCAAAAGGTCATTAAGAAAGGGGAGAAGGGATGTTATCTGGTGACTCTCACAACACATATGCACACATAGACACACACCCGCAACCACTAGCATCTGTTATTTTATTTTTTTAAAAAAGGTTCCAATACAAGGCCTCAGAGTAGTGCATGCAAATCAATGACCCTTAAACTGTCCATCACTGTCAGATGACCAGCACAATCTGCTACCATAGTCTGTGACCTGGTAAAGAGACCAGCTTCTTACTTTGAGTCCCATCACCTAACTTTGCCAATGTCCAACCTATCACATGGCTCATGAAGACTCAGGTACATTTTAGTATCTGAACAGCAAAGACACATTGAGCTGCAAGTACAATGAGTAAGTGTCTTTAGTGTGTTAAGGAAAAAGAAAAACAAGGCATTAAAAGGGAAAAGCCAACTTCATTTGATGCCTAAATCCCCAAAGTCTCTTCCATATATGATCTGTATCTAGGGAGATTTGCCAACACCATTTCAAGAACTTGCTTATTTTCCAATGAGAGGGTACCATCTGCCTTGAAGGAGTGCAGGGAGAGTGAAATAGTCACATGAGGTAAGAACTTGAAGTTGTGGTTGCAATTCACAGGCCACCTTTTTCCTGGCATTAACCCATCTCAGTAAATCCAACTCTGTGCCTGTGTGAATTCTGGGAAATGGTACTGCTGAGGGACAGAGAATCCTAACTCCTATCACGTCTATGATTATAGGAGAACATAGCCATGGAAGAATTAAATGGAAGAATTCATGGAAGAGTACAGCCATGGAAGAATTCAGTTACATCAGAGGGTTTTAGTTTGGTTTAGATATTAGATTTTTTTTTTAAAATGTTTCTTATCTGTGTTTCTCCATGCTCTTAGTTACTTACACATTGCTACCTGTGGTTGATTTCAGGGAAAGGATATGTTTAGTAAACCAACCTTAGCTGAAACCACCAGCTAATTAAAAGAGATATATTCTCATAAGAAAAGTAATTAAGATGAAAAGCAGCATTTAGCTTCTGGAACTACCTGCTTTTTGGTGCAGAGAGAAATGACAGACTGAGCAGAGAGGGGCATGCAGCCATCCATAAAACCCCCCAGAATTACAGCAGGAGGGCATGGACACCTACCTATAGCAGGCAACACTTTAAATGCCTGATTGCCAACTTCCCAAAACTCCCATGACAATCAGCAAGGTTGGTAACTGGCTGATGTTAGTATCCCCCTCACATTCCTTTGTGAACAGAACCCAAATGCAAAGGATCCTCCACAAACCCTCCACCAACTCCCCATTCCCACACCCCCATAGAGGACCTTTTCATTAGGCTCAAAGATCCAGCAGATGCTAAGGAACTGTGAGTAGTGTCCACACAAATACAAATTATTTTTATACCACCATGTTTTTCAAACATTCCCAAGATGAACAGGGGTCTTCCCAGAATGTAACAAAATGAATTTTAGCCCTCACACCAGTAACCAGTGAGAGTCTGACCCAGTTAGTTAAGAGGAATAAAGTGACTAGTGGTCAGTTATTGTTCATTAATTAACAAGCATAATTGCAGGAACTCTACCCAGAGCTGAGCACACTTGGGTATCATGATGTCAGATGTCAGTTAAGGGTTATGTTCCTGTAAACCAAAGCACCAGAGCTAAATTAATAATTTCCCTTTTTGTCCTTAATTGATGAAGAGTTCAAGTACTGCAGTGGTACCAGAATGGTCGTGGGTTGTGCCTCTTCCAACACTTCAGTTTCTTAATGCTAAACACTGGGGAGAAAATATCTCACCAGTGCCCCAGGTCAGGACAGGATGAACCAAAAGGGAAGAAAGCGGATCAACTAGCCTTGGAAATTATATTTATCTTCTGACTTAGGGCAGCTTCCACTCTTCTGACAATGTTCCACAAAAGCTTCCAGATCAATTCCTAAATTATAGACTGGGCCCTCTGAAAAATTCCCAGTCCGTGTAATTTTGCCAAAGCTCTAGAGGATTCTCTGGGGACAGACAATCGTTCCAGCAGTCATTCTGTTCCAACAGAGCAACATTTGGGTGGAGACTCTTCTCCCAAATATCACTACCTCTATCAACCACAAAGTTAGCCATTCTTATTGTCTAAAAAGCTTATGATCAGACTCACATAGCTACCCAATGGCTGGGAGTTTAACTTCCTAAAAGAGACAAACAAGAACTTAAACGGAGAAGGAAACAGACCCTGGGGAAACCTCATCCCCATTACCCGCTCTTAAAAAGAGGTGCTGGGCTCCCCTGGGTTTAAACTAGTGCTTTCCTAGTGATGCCTCTGCCTTCCATGGCACAGGCAGGATGTACCCAGTAGGGCGGAGGAAGCTCCACGTGAGAGGAACCCACAGCCTAATGGGGACAGACTTCTGCCAGAGCAGAGGGAGGTTTAAGGAAATCCATCTTGTCCGTCTGCCTTGGCTCAAGGAAGGGCCCCATATAAGCTGCCCTGTAATACTGCATAATGACCAAGGACTAGGCAGGAGCAAATGGACCCTGGAGGTGCACAGCAGCCATCTCTGGACCGGGCCCAACAGAACTGCATTTAGTTTTATCTCAGTAGTGAAAATTTTAAGTCCCCTAAAGGGGAAAACCCAATTAAAAAAAAAACCAGGAAAAAAACCAGCAAATGAATGCTGATTCTTCCTGTTCTAGTTCCCATTTTATTATTCAACTGTAGTGGAAAAACCTCCAGATGCACAGCATGAAACGGCAGATTTCCTCCCCTGTGTGCATCTTCATTCTTACCCTTCCTCCTTCGCACCAAACCCGCCATCCCTCTCTCCTGCTCCGCTGGTCCTGCCAGGCCCCTGGACACAGCGGCGCCCCGCCCCCGCACTCCTCAGTCAGTGCCGCCCTTCTGTTGGGCCAGCGTGCGCTTCAGCTCCCTCAGGTTCTCCGTCAGCACCTCCACCTCATCCAGGCGACCGCACTGCTTGGCGTCAAAGATGTATGCCTTGATGTTATCGATCTGCTGGAGAAGGAGCTCCTCTTCTATGGGCTCCTCGCCCTCGGGCCCACTGTCACTGTCCATCTCAAAGGGGTTGGTACAGGTGGCTTCCTCGAAGGGGTTGCCAGGAAGAGGAGGGCTTGGGGGCCTCTGGTGGGAACGCTCCTCATCCTCATCAAAGGGGTTGGGCGCTGGGCTGTCTGAGTTAGTGAAGGGGTTCACTTCCACTGCCTCCTCTTCCTCCTCTTCCTCAAAAGGATTATAATCTTTGAGGACGCGGGATGAAGGGCCGAAGGAAGGCTCTGTAGCAGGAGGGCTGCTGGAGCCCTCTGCAGCGGGGCTGGAGAGGTCTTCCTTATCAAAAGGGTTGAGGAAGGAGACTTCATGTTGCTGGGCTATGCTGCTCTGGGGGAGGAATTCCTGGCCGAGGGCTGGGGGCCCAGACCACACTCTGATGGGCTCGAGAGCTGAGCTGGGTGAAGGAGTCTTGGGAGCTGCACTGCTCTGAACTGGGGAAGAGCCCAGATCCAAAGCATAAGCAAGGTGGAGGCGAGTCTGTCTGCTGGGCTCCAGCTGAAAAGGCCCGACTTCTTGCAAGTCCAGGGACCGTGTCCGTGTGTGCAGGGATGCTGCCTGGAACTGCTCCCTTTCTCGTTCCCACTCACGTTCACGCAGCATCTGCAGCTGTTCCCGCTGCAGGTCCTCCTCCTCAGCCTGCTTCCGGGACAGCTCGATGGCCTTCTCTGTCTGCTGCTGGTCGTACTCGTCCTGCAACTGCCGCAGGTTCTCCTGCAGCGTGCGCACTTCATCTGTCCGGCCCGCAGCCTTGGCCTGCCTGATAAATGATGTGATGTTGTGGATCTGCTGGAGAAGGGGGTCCGAGTGTTCCCTCTCCCCCTGACCTCCTGACAGGGGGAGCCAGCCCTCAGCCTTTCTCAAGGGGACAGGGCCCCCGCGAAGGGATGCCACGTCCCCATTGGCACGAGATGGCAGGTCCCTCCGCCTTTCCGCAAGCCTTCGCTGGGATTCCAGGGCAGCCTGTGGAGACACCAAAGCCAGAGAAGAAACACAGTTACCAGGCCAACAGCAACCACACCGTCAGCTGCCCACTGCATTCCCGCTACCCCTGTGTCCACGAGGGACCAAATGCCCACCTCGGCACTAAACAGCCAACTGCTGAAATCAAGCCATGCTTTTGTTTCAGAGGGAAAGGAGGGACAAACCCTGGTTTTCAACAAGTAAATAATAAATAACAGTAAGTTAAGGGATAAAATTTTCTCAATCTTAGTTTCACTGACCGTATACTTGTCTTAAACCTCTGAGGCCTATTACTACTCATTTACACCAGAATCTCACACAGTATTACATACACATATTTTCTGTTTACTACTGCACATTCCAAAGTGTTCTACAAAGAACTCCCTGGTGTCTGGGTCCTCTGCATCCTGTACTAGAGAGAGAACTGCCATTCTCTATGGGATCCTGGACAGGAGAAAACCAGTAGAACCTCTGAAAGAAAAATAGGACTTGCAGAGAAAAACAATCAATTCTGACTTCTATAGATGAGCGCGAGGCCAGAACAGAACAGAAGAAAAATGGAAACTAGAGAGAGTGAGAGGTTCTGATTTACTATAACCTCGTAGGAACCCTGGGAGCCTGCGGAGGCCTCCTGTGCTGCCACAGGAGGAAGGAGGAAGCCAGACACCAGTGTCCCTGAGCTCCACTCACCTGTTTCTCCAGGACCCTCTTCCTCTCCACCTCCTGCTTCCTTTTCTCTTTCAGTTCCTCAAACTGTTCTTTCGTTGGCAGTGACATCAAACCGAGCAACTTTTCCTGTAGGAAGTCACAGACAATTTTACACTTAAACCCTTTTAGGAAAAAATGCACCTTAAGCCCTGTGTTGAGAGTCCGCTTAAGCTAAGTCACTCCACCCTCAGGCAGTCACATTAATTAGCAGGAGCACGAAAGGACCTAACCCTTAAATCTGGCCAGAAAGTCAACTTCCTTATGAAATGATCAACCCCTAGTAGCCCAGTTATTCACATTCACAATGAGGCCTTCGCCCTGCCTGCCCCATCTGAATTTGTAAGCCTCCATCTCAGCACCCCACTACCATCCTTTCCTGCTTTACATCTGTCTACAGCACTTTTCAACATAAGCTATATATTTTAGGTGTTTCTTGTCTATACCCCTCTCTAGAATATAAGCTTTATGAAAACAGGAATGTTTGTCTTTTTGCTCATGGCAGGATACCCACCACCTAGAACATTGCCTGCTACACACAAGCACTCACCAAATGACTGTGGAATATAGTCACTCATCAAAAGGAGAAAGGGCTTGATTCTCTGCAATACGGTATTGGAAAACTAACCCAATAGGACTCTATTATATCTGTCATGGAGCACCAAAGGTGGTTAACTATGACTCTCACAAGGGGCTATCTGAGGTAGAAACAATTCAGACCTAACCACCCGGCTTTAATCTGCCCTTCAACAATGAACTGTTTCCTCCCAATCAATGGTCCAGACAGAGTTCCTTAGGAGTTATCCTAAGGAAGAAATGCTACATACACATATGTTCGTCAGGCAATATTCCTAACAGCAAAAAAATGAGACCCTATCAAATGCCCAATGAAAGGGGAATGGTTAAATAAAGGATGGTGTATACGTCAATGCAGTATTCTGTAGACATTCAAATGAGAGCAATTTGAGGACTATGCAAAAAAGTACTTATGATATAAAATTCAGTGATAAAAATAGAAGACATAAATTTGCAAATATACACTAATTATAACTACTTTATATAACAAATGCAAATGGAAAAAGAAGAAGAAACTATACCAGAATGATGCATGACAGTATTAGAGACATAGGATTAAAAGTAGTTTTTACTGTTCTTTGAAATTCACATATTTCTCTAAATGTGGCACAATGCATTTATAATCTTAAAAAATAGTAAATGTACAAATAAAAACTAAACAAGCCATTCGCTCGGTCTGCCTCCTGAGTGGTAGAAGAGCAGGGGCGGCGATGCGACATTTCTGTCACTCCAGGATGGCGTTACCTGCACAAAAAGTGTCGCTGAGTATCTGACCATCCTCTGCAGCCGCAAAGTGTTTGGATGTGGTGGAGGGTCCTGGTTCGAGCCTAAGTTTAAGATCTTCTTACTGAATTGAAACAAACACATCAGTGTAACAAGCATTGACAGCCTCAGAAACAAGGGTAAAAAGTCTGAGTTGCCAGGCTTGCATGCTGGGGAGATTTGTGGAGACGGGTTAGACACTCCACTGAAGTGTCCTTGAAGGCAGAGCCTGTTTCTTACCCTTTGGCTGTACCCAAGGCCTCTAACACAGCACAGGGTGCATGACAAACACTTGGCCATGGAGGGACTAACCACACATACAGGGCCAGCTTCAAGGGTGAGTGACCTATGCAGCCACACTGCGCCTGGTGCGCAGAAGAGCCCTGTGCTCAGTTTAATATTCTGCTGTCACTGTCTTAAAATCCTTAATTTCAAACAAGGGACTTGCATTTTCATCTTGCACCAGGCCCCACAAATTACAAAGCCAGTCCTGCAGGCACGGATTGACAAGGATTTCTCATCTCATCAGTTCTTTCTCTGAGTCACTGTACTTCCTATACTGCAAAGGGCTGATTTAACCCCAACAGCCAGTCCACAGTTAAAAAGCAGCTGTCGACTTGAAGAAAAGTCTGCGTTTCCATCCTGGCTCCACCCCTTTTGTTAGCTGTGATGCATTTTCTCAACTATATAATGGGGATGTTAATCCCTACCTCACAGGGCAATTTTGGTAGAATAAATGAGCTCTACACTATATGGAAATATCCAGTGATATTTCCTGGCACACAGCTGGTGTCAGTAAACTCCTATTCCTTTAATAATAATGAACATTAGAAATCTTTAACCAAAAGTTACTGAGATGAGTTGAGTGCCAGAGCTGACACCCTCCTCAACCTCCTCCTCACACATACCGCTAACGGCAGGACTCTGGGTAAGCCCAGGTTCGCTAGCCACCCACCAGCACATTGAAACAGCACCTCCTCCACTCAAGGCAGCAAGTGAGACATCACCTAACAGACCTTACCTTAAAGCATCTATTAGCTCGTACACTTTTTGCACTTCTACTCGAAGGTCATTGGCATGTTCCAGACTGTACGTTGTCTCTCCAGCACTAAGGAGGAATCACGGAAATGTTTGATCTAAGTTTCATCACACTGACTGGGGAGTATAGTGTAAAAGGACTCTAACGAAAGGTTTAAGGCCTCACAAAGGGAGACGCAGTTAATTCTCTCCAAGTGGTATTTTGGACTCTTGTATATAATGTAGTGCTCATTCTTTTTCAAAATATAAGTGTTAATTAACTAGAAGGCACTTTTCAGTTTGCAAACACCATAGGGACAGACTCGTGCCTAGACGTCTGAGGCCCAGCTCTTAAGCTCATGGCCAAAATAAATGCAACTTAATCTGCTTTGGCCTACTTTCCCTAAACAATTTCATTATATCTAGTGAGATGTACGAAGTTTATTAAATGAGTTATTATACTACATCAGAGCAGAAAGTACTTGGCTTTTCTCAAACCCTACCCAGGGACAACAGGAACACCTGGAAAGCAGACCGCGGGATCCCCAGTGGCGATATCCAGCACGGCATCCTGTCAGTTGCCCCGTGCTTGTGGATCTCATGAACAACTGCTCCCTACATGAGAAAAGCACTTTGACTCCCAATCAAGAAGGGAGGAGAGGGAGGAACTGTGCCCAGGGTGCAGCAGGGGACATCAGGAAAGGCCAGAGTCGGCTTAACTCTAGTCTCAGAGAAACAGCAGTTATTGTGTGATCTTAGCATTGTTCAGAACCAGTGCTCTAAGCTAAAGAACAGAAAGAGGAAGACTGGGGCCTAGGAGGTGCAAATATAAACAGCGAGGAACCCTAGGACAATGATGCCTGAGAGGGCTCAAGAAATAAGGTTGGCTCTCCTTCCATTGTCTGCTGCCAGGGGCTGCAGACATCTAGTTGTTGGGACACAGGGAAACAGGACGGGGTCTACACTGGTTTCCCTATCTTTTTGCTCTTTCCTTCCCACCTCCATTTCCCTCCTTGTGGGCTGAGAAATATTGGGGGAGGAACAGAGAAGGGATGAAGAGCTCCAAAGCAACAGCAGAGGCAGGGAGAGATGCAGGGGAAGGGGTGTTTTTGCCACAAACCAACTGGGTTTAGTCTGTCATGTGTTTTAAGTCAGAGATTTACAGACTCAAGAGTCAAAAAACTCCTTAAGGACTATACAAACAAAAAAGTTCATTTTTTTTGCATGTGAGACCCACCAGTGGGCTTAGAACATGGTCACTGACATCATGAAGGGAAAGCCAAGCTTCCACCATACAATATTGTCACAGTAAATGTCCAAATAACAATACAGGTTTATTCTAAACAAGGCACATCTAATTCTGCATGCATCACTACAAAGGTGGCAGGTGGGCAACACAGGTTTTAAAAAAAAAGCAGACAATCCTTAAATTGAGAACACTGGATACCATAATTAATTTTTTTTCTGCAGGTTGGGAAAAGAATGCTGAGATCTGATTTTAGTAGCAGCACCTCCAATTCTTGCTCACACATCACTAACCTTCAGAAGGAGCAATGCTCTTAAGAAAAAGTCAGCAATTTTCTTCCATAAAGGGAGAGGGGGAATGAGTTGACTGCTAATGAGTGTGGGGTTTCTTATTAGGATGATGAAAATGTTTTCAAATTAAGACAGTGGTGATGGCTGTATAAATTTGTGAGTATACTAAAAACCACTGAACTATACATTTTAAAAGGGTGAATTTTATAGTGTGTGAATTATAGCTTAACTTAAAAAAGAAACAGATGGCAAGCTAGATGTAGCCCGTGGGCTCAAGTTTACCCACCCCCGCTATAAAGGAAATGCCTGCTCTAAGCCCTGACACCTCAGTGTCACCCTGAAGTGGCATCTACCCAGACATGAGCAGGAGGCATTGCTCACCTCCAGATGCTGCACTTGGCAGTGGTGCCTATTGTCCAAGGCCCTTTCCAGACCTGCTCAATCTGGGGTCACCTGAACATGGCTACAGAGGACAGTAATGTGTGCCACACGAAAATACAGACAGGATAAAGATTCTCCACAGTCGGTCACAGAAGAAAAGCATGGCCAGAGTGAAGATTTGTACTTTCAGCTACTGAAGATTTGAACTAAAATACCAGAAGAGAGTCACTGATTTAGAAAAACAGAAACAGCTTACTTTAATGACGTTGCCATCTTGATGTATTCAGGAGCTTTTTGGTCGACTTTCTCCATGCAAAGTCGTAATTTCTAAGAAGAAAAAAGAAGGCGAGCGGGGCTTTCAAGGTACGGAAAAGCCTGCCCAGAAGTTATGCTGCATCAACAGAAATATATATAAACTGTGCAGTTTTCTAAAATGTAAAAATGCAGATAGTGGTTTTTTGTTTTGTTTTCACTGTTATCAATTTCCTGATTTACAGACCTACTTTATAAGCAGAAAATTTTGCAAGAAGGAAAGAGACGGCAAAATTTTTGACTGGATGTTTTTGAGAGGAGCAAGGCCTTCCAGGACACAAGCCAGGGTTTATCAAGGCAAAGAAAAGGAATTACTTGTTACATTCTTTTTCTGCCAGGTGATTGAAGACACCAGCACAAGGCATCTACAGGGCTTACTTCAAAAAAGAAGGAAGCAAAAAGCACAGTTGCAGGTCACAGTTAACTAAAAAATGAGTCATCAGGTCATAGACTCCACATAATGGATGGATAATGTCTACATCTGCAGCTCAGCACAGGGTTTAATTAACACCATTTCTAGTAGCCTGAGTCGATTCATGGTGAGTCCAGAAACACAGACATTATGACCTGCAGAATTGCTAAGTGACCATTCAGCGATCAGACACATATACACTCTCAGCTCCGTTTTGCATGAGTTGCTTCCACTGCCAGGGCTCATCTCCTTCTCCCCATTTCCTACCGCCTCCCTGCCCCACCTCCACCTGACTAATTCTTCTCAGCTTGCAGGTCTCACCTGGCCATTAGGAGGCCCAGCCAGTCTGACCTTAAATCCCATGTTTTTGTACTACACTATGTTCCTCTCAAAGTAGCATCTATTAAAGGTGTTCTGGGATCACGGGTGGTAACGAGAGCTGAGGCATGGGAGTGGACTTAAAAGGGGAAGCTCTGAGCCTCTAGGCAGTGACTCAAACTTGTAAAGCCTGAAGCTCCCAGGTGAGTGTCACAGGGCTCTTCTGGCCCCCTGTTGACCACCAGCTCCAGCTTCTGCCCTCACTGCATGGCAACCATCCTTTCTCCTCTTATCTCTGGGCCACCAAAGCCTCCAACCTCTGCCTTCAAGAGGGCAAGGAGAGGCAAGGAAACAAGTTTGTGGCAACACACCCAGGATGACTCTGTGACTCACCCAGGGCAATAGCTAGGAAATCATACGATGCCCCTTTTGCAGAAACTAAAAATGATTCAACTTCCCAAAGCATTCTCCAAAATCTGCAGGCATGTATGTAACAAACAGCCAAATCTGCCTCTCGAATCAGACCCAGGACAGCACACAATGAGTCACCTCATAGAGTTTCACAATGTCAGGGGTGTGCTCCCTCTCATCGATCTGTTGCTCTCTCTTGAGCAGCGTGTCCTTGCAGTGTGTACAGCAGCGGATCCTGTCATCATCCTTCTCATCCAAGACGGAGCTCACACTGCTCATGCTGCTGATGCTGCCCCGGCGGGAGCCATGAACACTGTTGGGTGACTGGCTGGGGCTGGTGTGGGTGCTCAGGGCATCTTTGCTGGCATTGGTGAGCTTGTCTGTAAAGCACAACACAGGACAGTGAGCCCACAGCCTCCAATCACCCCACTGCCCACAACAGGAGGGGAGTCCACAGTTGCTGATCGGGTAAGAGCAGGCTCTGCCTGTGGGCAAGAAGCACTCACACTTCTGCTTTCCTGGGGTCAGGGTCTGCAGTGGGAAGGACTCCCACTGCCAGCCAGGAAAGAGCCAGACAACCTAGGACGGTCTGCCTTTGAGGGTCTGAGGCCCACCCCTAACCTGGCCTTACCACCTACCGCCCTTCTCCATTTGCCATGCCTCAGACCCAACCCATGTTCTCCCTAGCTGTCCTGACAGCTTTCCCTGCTCCCAAACACCTGACTCCTACCCCTTCTAAACCTCAGCTTAAATGGCACGTCCTCCAGGAAGTTCTCCCTTATTCCTTAAGGCATAAATGATCTGCCCTTCCTGTCAGCAGTTCCTACCACGTCACTCCTCTTGGAGAACTTTCCACTCTACGTACACCCCAGAGCTGCCCAAGGAATCTATGTATCTTTCAGAGAAACTGTGTCTTATTCATACTTGTAGCCTGACATATACAACAGGGCCACCCCACAGCAGCTGCCAAGTCAATGTTGGTTAATTAGCCCAAGAGAAGAAAGATGAATAGTGTCCCCAAAATATAACTTATGAAGTCTTGGATGAGACAGAAAGCTGGTCTTGGGGAGAAAGGGAAAGTATCAAGGTAATGTGTGCCCAGGGGATGTCAGAGCTGAACAGAGGAAGCATCTGCTTCTGCCCCATACTGCCCAGACGCCCTGTAGCCAACAGCACATGCAGAGTCAGCGGATCTCTCCAGAGTTGCAAAACCACCCAAAAGGTCCCAGAATTGACCAAAAGCCTATTAGTTCATCTTTAGCAACTTTTAACCAGCTGAGATTCAAAGTTCTGGACATCTGGTTCCACCCAACTTTCGTAGCCTCATTCCCATAATTCTCAAACACTTCCTCCACATTCCCCCAACTATCTGTCCCCAGGACCTTTCCAAATCCCACACCTTTGGTCCTGCTCTTTACCCAGGATGCCCTCCTGTCCCATCTCTTTGCAGTCATCTTCCAAGGCTCTTCTCGAACATCACCTCCCAACCCTGGGCATCCATGCTCTTGCTCTCCCCCGGCCCCCACAGCACTCAGTGTCTCTCCTATTATGACATTACAGTCTGTTCTATATGACGATGACTATTTGTGACTTTTATCTCAAAGGAAAGGATTAGCCTGCTTCTCATTTTTCACGACCCTCTCCTATAGTATCCTCTCAAAGCCTCACCTGCCACTTCTAAGCAGAGCTGATAAAGGTTTGGTCAGCTCTCCTGGGTGCCTGATGCACCTTCTCTCATACTTATTTCTTTATAAAGCAATTATTTATTTGTGAGTCTGTCCCCTATTAGATGCTAGACCCCTTGAGGAATGGACAATGGCTTATAGACCCGAGGTGGGGACTTATAACCTATAATCCAAGTTCTGCCTGTTTTTGTATGGCCCTTGTGCTAAGTATGGTTATTACATTTTTAAAAGGTTGTTTAAAAAAAGAAGAAATGTCACAGAGACCATAGGTAGCTCACAAAGCCTAAAATACTTACTATCTGATCTTTTATAAAAAAAAAGTTTGCCTGCCCCTGTGACAGACCATTGTACCCCTGGCCTTCTAGCACGGTGCCTAACCTGTAGAGGGCTTCATGGAATCAACAAGTGAATGAATGAAGAACCCATGGCCATTAATTTAAACAAAAGAGTTCAAAAGATCACCCAGTGGTGATTAGTAAACAGTCTCAGGAGGAGATCAGGGTCCAGGGCCCTGCCTCCACGTTACCTACTTGCCAAGGGAAGGCTGATGAGCTCCATACACTTCTTGCACATAATAGACCCGCAGAGGCGGCAGTGGTGACGGCGGTTACGGATGCTAAACTTATTCCCACAGTCTGGACAAAAAGGGACATCCTGGTCATTGACCCAAGGCACCACGGACTTTTCTATTGCTTTGAGAAGAACAAAACAAAAACCAAACAAACAAAAAAGCAAGCCGTTTAGAAAGAGATTTGGTCAGGGAGAAAGAAAAATTGAATGAATGTGAGCAAAGTTCTAGAGTTACCTCGGATCTTAGCCGACTCAGTATTCGTTCTGTCAAATGCAGTGAGCTGACAAGGAGATAACAGTGCCAAATGGAATTAGTCAGGTGATGGATACACTTTCCATAAGCAAGAGACATCAAGCGGAAATGACCACATCTGTACTTCTGTACATCTGTACTTCTCAAGTCTCATCTGTCACCCACCAAGTCCCAAAAGCAATTTCACATGGGATAATCTAGAAGGTACCTCCCTTCACATGACCTATTTCCAGTCTCTCTATCGTCAATTAGCCCTTCAAGCAATAACCAGGGAGGGACAAAGGAGTGGTAGAGGTGGGAACTGAAAGCAGTGGGGAACCCTCGATTTCCAGTCCTTCTTCTGGACAATGAAATTGGCCACATATTTCTGCGCTGCAAAGTGCACATGTAGAACTATACCAGTCATTGCTCTCCTGCCCACCACACGATCCAGCTTATACACGACAAGCATTTCTAGGGTGAAAGTCAAACAGAGTGACCATATTATGGAAGACACTCTTCACATACAAAACAAGAAGGCCCAACGAAGATGTTCCCACACTACATGCTGGACCTAGCTGAGTTTTCCTTACAGACCTAAGCACCAGCTTCTGTTTGCCAACAAATGATGTCACATACTATGCTTCGTTGTGTGACTGTGCCTGGGACACCCAGAAGAGGAAAGAATCTGAAGGCAGAAAGGTCTTCCAGCAGCCAAGTGAGCTTCACAGGGAGGAAAGGGAAGCTGGATATGTGACAAGTCTGTCGACCTGGGCCATTCCCTTCAGTAAAAGCAGCCAGGTTAGAACTGTCCACCACAGGCTTTGCACCTCTCTCGGTGCGGTGTTTCTCTGCCAGCATTAGGTATATACAATATACATAACACATGCTGCAGAAATGTAATTTTCCCCCCAGAAGATTTATTCTTGTAGAAAAAGTGTTTTAAAACAACAAAATTTACCTTCTCTAACCTGATTATTAATTTATTGACTTCAACAACATAGTGGTCAATCCTGGCAGCTCGGTGTTTTTTGAAGTCAGAAAGATGGCTTCTCACAGCACCTAGAAAAGGAGGTGGGGAAAGAAATGGCTTGTCATTTCTCTGAGGAAGCCTCTTTATCTCTCTGCTTATCCTCAATACATTTCAAAAGCAAGGAAAAATTCTAGGATTTTAGAGTCTTACTAAAAATTCAAAAAACGAGGAAAGCATCCAAGTATCTTTTCTTCCCTAATCATACTCTTAACATCTAAATTTTAGTTTCAAGTTCTTAGGGATAACCATAAACATTAACTTCTAAAATTTGCCATTCACGTTCGGATCCCACATATGCGGGCCAGTGACACTGCCCTCCACAGCTAAGATGCTGAACAACAGCTCAATCTGGAGCTGGGCTGCCGTGAGTCGCCGGCAACGGCATGGGCTGCAGCCCCTGTGGCAGTGGGTTGCCATGGGCTACCGTGTGTAGCCAGCAGCCAGCGTGAGCGGCCAGCAGCCGCAGTGAGCGGCTGTCCAGAAGCCGGCGACTGATCTGCCTCACCCAGGAAGAGGGCAATGATGGTGCCAACTTGGGCCAGTGAAGCAACGGCCTCCACAACTAGACTGAAGAACAGAAAACGACAGCAACTTGTCTGTTCCCCTTCCCCCAATTCCCCAATAAAAATCTTAAAAAAAAAAAAATTTGCCATTCGCTTGACCTTTTCATAATTTGTGACTTCCTTCAGTTGTTGAAACAGGCTGGTTAATAAAAAAATCAGCCAGCTAATTTAACATTGGCAATCATAAAATAAACTAGCCAAAAGCTAGTAAGAATTCACATGGTTGAAATTTCTCCTTTGTTTCTAATTGGCTTTCAGATGTAACTCACAATTACATGTGTATAGTATTATTTTTAAAGTCATTTTCTCCTGACATGATGAAAATGTTTTTACTCTCCAATATGGTAGCCACTAGCCACATGAGGCGATTGAGCACTTGAAATGTGGCTAGTATGTGGTTGAAGAACTCACTTTTAATTTTATTCAATTTTAATTTAAGTTTAAATGGTCACATATAGTTAGTGGCAATCATATTGGACAGTGCAGTTCTAGGGCTTTCCTCATCCAAAAAACCACCTTCAGTAGTGGCACTCTAAGAATATGGTAGATGACCCTGGTTAAATAACACTTCCCTTCTTAGAGCCTGTTTCCTCATCTATAGATAGGAATGAACGTCACTACTCATTCTACCTCACAAGGCTTTGGTGAAAGGTGAACAAGATAATGAATATGAAAGTATAATAAAGCACTATGAAGGGATCATTATTTATCCATTGCAGGGACAGAAAATATTATATTCATGCTTGTTATCATTCAACAGTTAAAGGACATGTAAGATTAGCTAGTTCATCTGCGTGGCACGATCTTTTTGGTAATAGCTTTATTGAGATATTATTCACATACATACAATTCACCATTTAAAACACATAAATTCAATGGTTTTTAGTATACTCAGAGTTGTGCAACCGTCTCCAAAATATATTTTAGAATATTTTCATCACTCCCAAAAAGATGATTATTTTCAAAGTAAGCAGATGATACTATAATTATGTGTTTCAGAAAATTAAGGTGCACAAACCAGTGCCTCTCACTAGGCAGGTAATATCCTATGTGAGAGGAGACAGCCCAGTCAATGGAATCTGTGCCTGGGCTGAGGCCACAGACCTGGATTTCTACCTCAGTTCTGCAGTTTTCTGGATGTCTGACCCTGGGCAGGTCCCATGGGGTGCCGTGAGGATTAATTGATAGCACACCTGGAAAGCATTTAATGTAGTACCTAACACAGGGCAGATGCTCAGCTCATTCTTGTTCATTTTCTCCCCAGCCACTCAGACATAACGTCCATAAAAAACTAGACCATTCTGGTTTATTGATGCCTCCTCAGCCAACTCTTAAAACATTATCTAGAACACAGAGATCTCAACAAACATTTCTGAGTGAATGAATAGAATTTCTTACCAAGCTCCTGGGGTTCCCACATGTAAGGATCAACCCCTCCATAACTGAATGACTCATATCCTTGGGTCCCTGCTTCTGCTCGGTCATCTCCTTCTCGTTTCAACAGCCTGTTCTTTGCTTTCTTAGCCTTCTGGACAAGACCTCGAAAAAGGGAACAAACATCATAAATGACTCCATGAAGAACACCCCGTAAAGAGTCGAGGGAAATCTCAAAACCCAAGAGTTGAAGAAATAATTATGCTTTGTATAATAAGGCTCAAGAAATTTTTGGATCCCAAATAAAATGCAATAATAAGCATACAACCACTGTATTACAAAACAATCCATTCGCTTGTCAGTATTACCAGTAAGTTGGTTTATGTGGCCAGTATATAGCTAAATGACTGCTCATTGCCAAATGTAAGAGCCCAATTAAATAGAAGTGTTAAAATCAAATTCAGTGAGGGGGATGGAAGTGGTTTTTTCTGTCTTAATTGGGGAGGTAGTTAAATGGGTACACACAATTTTCAAAACTCACTGAATTGTACACTTAAAAACTTATGTATAAACTATACCTGAATTAAAATCAAGTTTTTTAAAAATAAAATTCTATAGTACTACTTTATTTACCCTAGGAACTCATGAGTAATCACTTCTTATTTACCTCCAGGATGAGATTCAGCCAAACCAATATCCCTGCGCTGTTCCCCATAATGCTTAACTATATGTAAAGTTCTTCCCCCACTCACTTACTGAATGCATGTATGAGAATACTGACAAGCTTCAAGAAACAGATATAACACTTACAATATAACACAAAGGGAACTAAACTTGGTAAGAAGAGAAAATGAATGTTTCCTGAATTGATTCATTGTATGTACCAGGCACAAAGCAAAGTGCTTTCAAATACATTATGCCAGTTCATGCTCACATTATGAGGCAGGTGGTATCCCTACTTACAAATAAGGACATGACATCAAAGAGAGGGAAAAACTTGCTTCATCCAAGATCACAGAGCTTATAAGCAGCAGAGCTGAAATTGGAAATCTCATAGGTCTGAAGCAAGAGCCCCAACTCCCCACCCAGCATTGATTTGAATACTATGCCTCTGCAAAACAGGGGTTCTGCCACCTTTGCTGAGGTGAGAGGACCTGCTGTTAAAATGGAACAACAGTCAACTGGTAGGAAAAAAAGAATTCTCAATCCTAAATTGCTCTCATCAATATTCTTAAATCTTGGGTGACTGCTATCCCTTTCTGCCACTAGAATCCAGTAGAAGATATCAGATTTAATACAAAATGATATAATTTCTTTTACATTTAATAGATCAATACTTCATGGAGTTCCCATAATTCTGAAGTGCTCTGTCACTTGAATAACATTAAAAACACTCCCATAACTTTTCAAATATTTAGGTAAATGCAGATGGGGGGGGGCGGCAAGTAGGGGGTAAAATTGATAAGGTTATATGGACATGTTTTTGTTAGATAGTCAGGCTAATAAGCAAATTTCCTGATTATCACTCTGGGATAGCTTTCTTCACCTGGAAAAATAAGGTCCACCGGAACTAAAGCACATTCTCTAAAATACATTAGTCTTCCTTTTTTTTTTTTTAAGATTTTTTTTTTTAATTGGGGAATTGGGGGATGGGAACAGTGCTGGGGAATTGGGGGAAGGGGAACAGACAAGTTGCTGTCCTTTTGTTCTTCAGTCTAGTTGTGGAGGACGTTGCTTCACTGGCCCAAGTTGGCACCATCATTGCGCTCTTCCCGGGCGAGGCAGATCAGTCGCCGGCTTCTGGACGGTCGCTCACTGCGGCTGCTGGCCGCTCACGCTGGCTGCTGGCTACACACGGTAGCCCATGGCAACCCACTGCCACAGGGGCTGCAGCCTACGCCGTCACCGGCAACTCATGGCAGCCCAGCTCCAGGTTGAGCTGTTGTTCAGCATCTTAGCTGTGGAGGGCAGTGTCACTGGCCCTCATATGTGGGATCCGAACCGGGGCCCTCTGGCGTCCCAAGCCAGTTCTTAACCATCGCGCCACTCAGCCGGCCCACATTAGTCTTTCTCAACAACAGTGAAAAGGACAGTCTGATGTAAATAAAGGTTCTAGCAGACAGAAAACTGGAGTTAGCAAATACCAATTCATTTCTGCAAACAAGACTATGTCAAGTTAAACAGGCAATCCATGGCATTTTACCACTGTAGGAGGCATAGAAAAACTGCCTGGCAACCTTGCCAGGGCAGGTGTAGCCCTTTAAGAGGGGCCAGTTAAGAACAATCCCATGTTTTTTAAAACACAAACCATAAGCAAAAGTTAATTCTCAACCACTTTTTCTTTTACGTACTTTAGATGTGCTAAACTGAAGCTGAACCATGACAACTCAAACCCACTGACCACTTTTTAGTAATGTCAAGTTTATATTTTCTTTTTTAAAGATTTTTATTGGGGAATTGGGGGATGGGAACAGCACTGGGGAATTGGGGAAAGGGGAACAGAGAAGTTGCTGTCCTTTTGTTCTTCAGTCTAGTTGTGGAGGATGTTGCTTCACTGGCTCAAGTTGGCAACATCATTGCGCTCTTCCTAGGCGAGGCAGATCAGTCACCGGCTTCTGGACGGCCGCTCACTGCGGCTGCTGGCCGCTCACGCTGGCTGCTGGCTACACACGGTAGCCCATGGCAACCCACTGCAGCACGGGCTGCAGCCTACGCCATCGCCAGCAACTCATGGCAGCCCAGCTCCAGGTTGAGCTGTTGTTCAGCATCTTAGCTGTAGAGGGCAGTGTCACTGGCCCTCATATGTGGGATCCGTTTCTTTTTTAAACTGCCTCCAAAACTTGAAACCAAGGCTTGTTCTTTTGGTTTTAATATTTCACTCGCCTAAACTAGCAATGCCAGAAAATTTCTCAGAATCAAAAGACCAAATGGAGAGGTGATCTGCTTTTCAAAGGACTTTCTCAAAAATCTTTGATGTCAATCTTTAAAACTTTACTTTTGTGATTCTGAAATACAGAAAACTACAACATAATCAATAATTCCTTCCCAACTAAAGAATGTTTAACTCAATTTAGTTCTTCTGAGGTAGAGATTTGGGAAAAATGGAGGGAGAAAAACAAGTGAATACTTTCAAGCTTCTTTTACAAGGAACAAAATTTCCACTTTATTTGGTATTCTCTATATAGATGCCCATGTCTATTAGTCCCTAAATAACCTTAAACATTTTTCCTCTAATAAAAGGGTTATCACAGGAATCAGGACATTCTATAACCTCTGTACCCACTGGCCTCAAAGTCTTAGGGATATCAGAGTATATGACCCAGCTCAGCTAACACTAGACACTCACTGAAAATCATGGAGGCCCATCAGTTGTCCAAAGGAAACTCAGATAATTAGTTTGTTTGTTTTCCAGCTGCAGTACATGCTGCAATTGGAATACAGGGCCTCAAATCATCAGTGATGTCTTGTGGAAAGTCTTAGAGGTGATAGAAGAACTGGGTTCAAGGCCTACTTCTTGAACCCAATTCCAGTGTGACCTTGAATAAGTTATTCAACTTTTCTGAGCCTTACTTTTTCTCTGTAAGATGGGACCAATCACCTTATGCAGGGTGAATCAAATCAAATCTTGTATGTGAAAGAACTCAAAAACTATAAAGTGCAAAAAACATTTTTTTGTGTGGGGGTGGGGGAGCTCCCTATAGTTACGGGTCTGCTCCAGCCAGAACCTACCTGGTCATCACAGTCCTCAAGGTTTTGAAACTGTTTTACTTTGTCATGCTTTTGAAAAGAGGTTATAAATGTTAATGCTTTCAGCAACTCTTTTCTTCTGAACTGAAAAATGTGACATAGAGCATGACTATTTGATTACAGGGTGCATGTGACGCACAAGTGTAGAGGCCAAAGTACCCTTAAGAATAGATGATCATTTCTTTCTCTCCCACCCAACAAAGATTTGTGAATACGGCACCCAGATCTTTTTAGTTTCATTGCCTTCAGAAACGCTACAGCTATAAGGTTAGCAGAATCACTAAAAAGTGAGTTCCGGAGCAGTGGCATCAGAGTCAGGGGTTAGAATCTGAAGTTCAGGAAATGAACACTATTTATTCAAAATTACTTTGAAAAATTCTTTCAGCAACTCTCCAAGACCTGAGCCCTTAGAAGCTCAAATACCAAGTTTTAACTTTTTGGGTTGTTTCTCTTTGCTTTTCAACTATGACCTTCCTTTTCCTGAGCTGCAGAGGACAAGGTCTAGTTGAGAAAAGAAGGATGGCAGCAAGGCATGAATTTGTAACAAGTAAATGAGTCAACAATGTGCCTCCACTTTCATAGCAAAACCCTCATAGGCAAGCAATTAGATAATTCAGTCAGCAGAGCACAATAATTACATTTGTTAGGTTCAAAGCCTCATTGGCTCTGCCTCATTGTGTGACTTTAGGCAGGTTATCTAATTTCTCTGTGTCTGAAACCCTCACTATTGTGAGCATTAAATGAAATTAATACATGGGTAGACTGTGAACAAAGCCTGGCACATGGTAAGCACTAGATATATGTTTGTGGCTATTATTATTAACTTATGATTGTTATTATCATGTTCCAGTGGCAACATGGAAGCTGATGAAAACTACCCTTTGAGTTAAAGCTCCCACTGACAGCATAGGATAAGCAAACTCCTCGCCTCTTACTTTTAATTTGCCCTTTGACATCACGGTCTTCCCCGGAGTGCTCTTCCTCATAATGTGACTGAAGCTGATAGAAAGACTGCAGGTCCTTCAGGCACAAAGGGCAGAGGAAGCCCTCCCTCACTTCTCCTGGGTCATCCAGAGATGCCATGGCAGGGTCCCTCTCAACCCCCACAAGGCAGGGGCCTCATTCCAAGAGTCAGCTTGATTCCTTCACACAAGACCAAGTCTCCCGCAGCATTTAGCTTAGCCAAGCAGCACACAGATGATGGAGAAGTGGTACCATGGCCCTGGATGAGGTTTCCTCACTGGAGTAGGAGAAGCCTTGAGAAAGGAAAGAAGAAGGGGGGAAAAAGCCAATCAGGCAAATTAGCAGCAATTGAGAATTTTCTTTGTTCTTCTCACAATCCAACAAAGGTACTTAATGTTTGTTCAGTACAAGTCTGAGAACACAAGCTGCTTTCTCAAATCCTTAGACCAAAACACAAAACCATCTAAGATACGAGAACATCACTGGACAACAGCAGCTCAATAAAGTGGGGAGTACAGATTCTTGAAGATAAGAAAATTCAACTTCAACAGCAAACACAATACCAAGGCAACTCTCTAATATTCGTTCCAAATGTTCCAACTTCATAATTTGTAGATCACAGGGATAATGTCTGAAGTAATTATCAACAAATAGGAGATTTTCTTTTACTTTCTGCACTTTGATCATTGATTCAACCACATCTATTGAACACCTGTGTCATATTTGACACCTGTGTCAAAAATGCAACAATACAGAAGAGATAGTGCCTGCCCTAATAAACAAAACAAGAATCCCAACCTCTGTCTAAGGAGGAGCATTAGAAACCTAGTGATCAAAAAGAAAAATCTATTTTGTGTTTCATACTTGTAAAGCACTTTCTCTTCAATGAACTTACTAGATTTTATAAACCAGTAAGTGACAGTTGAGCTGGAAGCCTAATGTTCTCACTGCTTCAAAAATAAAAGGATTTCGTACTTAAACAATTCAGGGCTTAATAAGTTACATTTTCAGCTTTATTGGGCCATGGCAAAGTCACTTCCAATGTCACCTCTGAAAGACTCCCGGTCATAAGGACAACACAGACAAAACCACTCCACAAAAGGCAGAGAAATGTCTCCCTTCCCAAGAGCTTGAGGCCACCAACCACAGTAGAGAGCGAAGGGGAATGTATGACCCTCAGCTTTAGATGGACTTGCCTAGAGGGCCACTGAGGAGGGACGGCCTGGTCCTCAAAGCCAAGGAGTGGCAGTGACCCAGAAAATAAACAAATGAAACACCAAGTCTGGGTTTTTTTCTCTAGCTAAGAAACCCAATGATTATATATAAGCAAATCTCATATTTTCCAGATAGTCACTGAAATAGCAGTTTCAGTTCTCTCCCCAGTAAGCGGTTCATCTGACACCCTAACTCTGACAGCCCCCTTCCTTCCTAATAACCACAAATCAAACACCCACACCCTTCACATCTCAATCCACCCTCACTTCCTGAAGGAAACGCAGTTTACCTGAGGCATTCTCCCATCTGACAGCCCCTGCTCTTCTCATACACAGCACTGATCTCAATCTACAGTCACAAGAATATAAAGTGACTGAATACATAAGACTGGAAGCTCTGTAAGGGCAGGCACCATGTCTGTTTTCCCCACCACCTTGTTCCCAAGGTCTAGCACAGCGCTTGGCACAAACTACAAGAAACACAATGAACGAACTCTAAGATCATACAACAAAATACACACCACAAACCAGAGAAATCTACCACAAACCACCAAGCCAGACCCCACGACCATAACGTATGCAAGCCCTCACACACTCTAAACCACGCAAAAAAGAAACATAAAACCTCCATACCCTGCACCTATACGTCCAGCATGAATGCTAATGCGGCCATATGTCGCATAGACTCCACGTCCCGCAGCCGCCCTCATCACAGCCTCACCACCGCACACAACCCTCCTCCCCCGAACTCAACACGATTATGCACCCGTCGCAAAACTACACACAACATGAAAGACTCACCCCCACGGGGCAGACATGACAACTTCACACACCGCACAGACGCCACACAAAACGCTACAAACACACAAACTCAGACCCCAAGCGCCTCAACCTCACACAATCAGAGAGCCAAACACAACCACCCACCCAGGAGACGACCACCCACCCGCCTCTCAGCTGCACAACCAAACACGGCTGCACACGCCCCGCGAAACCACACACCCAAACAGAGCCCACTCAACGCAAGCACACACGCGCGAACCGCACGACCCGAAAGCCCCCTCGTCCACTCCTAACGTCACACCCACCACAATCACACCGATCCCACACCGGCACGGCCCGCTCGTCTCCGCGCCTGAAGAGAGCAGCGCCCCCGCCCCTCAGGCCCGGTCCAACCCTCGGTGACCGGCCGCGCTCCCGCGGGCTGGCAGGCCTTTCCAGACCTTGGCAAGGGCTCTGGGCCTTCACGATTCTTCACACAGCCGCTGCCGCCATCTCCATCGGTTACTTGGCGCTCGGCAGGCGCGCCTGTGGCGGCCCCGAAACCGGAAGACAGGCTGACATACGCCCGTGGAGCGCCGAGTCTTCCAGGGCGCGAAACGGGCGGCGACGGATACCGACTGCGCTGGGCGACCGGCGGCTTCTGCGCAGGCGCTGTAAGAACCAGCGGGGTGAGCTCGGTAATTTTGCAACGTTTTGACGTCCCGGGAACTTACGTACAAAACGTTAAAGCCAGCCCCTTGCTCTCCGCCCCATTGTACAGGTGGGAAAACTGAAGCTTGTCTATTCTGTAATTCTTTAGCTTTCCACCAAGGTGTGCAATGAATTAGCCAGCAGGGTTGGGGGTGGGTCTTCTTTAACACCTATCCCACCCCCAGCTACAGTTCTAAATTAATTTGAGTTAAAGTTCTTGAGAGCTAGAGATAAAAGGAATATTCAGGAGACTTGGAGGATGTGGCAAGGTCCGGAATAAAACCACATGAGAGTGGAGACTTGTAATGAGAGGGAGTGTCCATTCAGAGAGTGGACAGCATGGTCAGATCTGTGGGAAATCGGACATTTTCAAGTGCAAATCAAAACTACAGTGAAGGGGTGGAGGAAGGGGCATTGGAGGAAGGTGGTCAAAAGTTACAAGATAAGTAAGTATTAGGGATGTAATGTGCGACATGGTGGCTATAGCTAACACTGCTGTATGACGTAGGTAAGTTGTCGAGAGAGTAAATCCTAAGAGTTCTCATCACAAGAAAAAAAATTTTTTGCTCTATTATTTTTTTTATTGTATCTATATGAAAAGATGGATGTTAGCCAAATCCATTGTGATAATCATTTCACAACATGTAAATCAAACCATCATGCTGTATGTCTTAAACATATACAGTGATGTATGTCAATTATTTTTCAGTAAAACTGGAAGAAACCCAGCATACAATATAACTTCCACAAGGACAAAAAACAAGACAACAACCAAAAAAACCTCATGAGGTATCACCTCACACCAGTTAAAATGGCTATTATAAAAAAAACGAGATGACAAGTATTGGCGAGGATGTGGAGACAAGGGAACCCTTGTGCGCTGTTGGTGGGACTGTAAATTGGTGCAGCCACTATCAAAAACAACATGGAGGTTCCTCAAAAAAATAAAACAAAAACTAGCAAATGATCCAGCAATTCCACTTCTGGGCATTCAGCCAATGAAAATGAAAACACTAACTCAAAAAGATGTATGTCCCCCCATGTTCATTGCAGTATTGTTTACAATAGCCAAGACATGGAAACAACCTGTGTCCATTGATTGATAAATGGATAAAGATGTGAGATATATATATACATATATATATATATATATACATATATATATAATTCAGCCATAAAATAGAATGAAAGCTTGCCATTTGCAGCAACATGGATGGACATAAGGACATTGAAGGCATTTATGCTAAGTGAAATAAGTAGAGAAAGACAAATACCATATGATCTCACTTATATGAGTATGTGGAATCTTAAAAAAAAACACAAGAAAAACTGAGCTCACGGATACAAAGTATATATTGGTGGTTGCCAGGGGCAGAGGGAGGTTGTGGGTCCGGGGCTGGGAGCGGCCTCCATCTCTGAATTGGAGCCCTGATTTTGCAACTAGCGCTGGGCCTTCATCAACTTCCATTTAAGAACATGGGGCTTCCAGTGTGGGGAGCATTGAGGTTCCAGCATGGGGAGCAAAATGTAGGAGCAACCCAAGCACCAGTGGAAGGGCAGTGAGCTAGGGGGTCCAGAGACCTTACTGTGTGACTTTCAACAGTTCCCTTCCCCTCTCCTGGCCTCAGTTTTCCCATCCAAATAAAATGGGTTCTAAAGACTTTCAAGCTCTTTTATTTTTTCAATCTGATAGCCAAAAAATGTTTTGTTTTTTTTAATTTTACAGGGTTGGCAAGAGTAGACAGTGACTCCCCTTTGTGTATTGGCACAGACAAGAGACTTGCCAACCTGTCAGAAGCAAAGCAACGGTCCCAGCTCTACTTACCCACTGCCAGCCCCTGCCTTGGCGCCCAGTAACCAGAAGAGTGAAAACACCTTGAATGTCTGGAGCTGAATAAGTCCCAGAACTGGACATACTTATCAGCAGGACTATGAAGTCAGGTGATGAACCTTTTATTAAACCATCATGATTTTTGCCTGTTATTCTATCATTTACAAAAGCCAGTGTCACATTCACCATTTCATTTGTTCAAAAGCAATGTGGCCTGCAGCTTGCAAATTAATTCGGAAATCATGCTGGATCAGCCACTGCTATTCTATTGATTTTTAAAGAGTGATGACAAAGATTTTCCCATATGTTTTACAGTTTATCAAAAGCACTTTCATTATTTAAATCCTTTGGGCAACTCTATTATTAATTCTATTTTAATATTAGTAATAATGACTAATATTCACTGAATGATTTGCATGTGCCAATTATTGTTCTATGTGCTTTACATGTTTTAGCTCATTTAAATCCTCATATAACCCTATGTGGTACAAACTAATATTGTTCTCATTTTGTAAATGAGGAATCTGAGGCACAGAGATTAGGTGACTTACCCAAGGTCATACAGCTGTTAAGTGCTGAACCCAGAGTCGTATTGTCTTGAGATTTTCACAACCCCACTTTTCCTTCCTTTGTGAAGGCCTGATCTCTGAGCTTTCCTGCATCTCTTAGCATTTTGCAGGGACCAACCATGAATCAGGCATGGAGATAGAGGATGTGAAGAGAATCATGCAAGATAGTCTCAGTCTTCAAGAAGGTCTCAGCTGGCAGGGGACACAGCAGCTCATAAGTCAATTAGTTTTAAAAAAGAAGAAGGAGAGGGAGAGAAGAGAGAGAGAGAGAGAGATGCACATGTGTGCAGATGTTCTGGCATTGAAGGAGAGGCTGATGAAACCCCCTGTGGGAATTCAGGGAAGGTTTCCCAGAGGCAGCAACACATGAGCAGAGCCCTCAGCTAGAGATGATCAAGAAGGGCTTTCCAGGCCTGGGGAATAGCATATGCAAAGGCATGGTCATGGGAAAGAACATGTGTCCTCTGAGAAACTTAGAAAAATTCATTCACATGTAGAGCAATAATATTAAGACACTTCTTCCCAGCACTACAGAAGCCATGTCTAACGGTGGACTCTCAGACAGTGGCTCCTTCACCTTTGCCTTCTGCCCTAGGGCGCTCTCTCTGTCTCTCTCTTTCTGACCCCTTATTGTTTAAGTTCATCCCAAGCAGCACAAGCTGTCTTGGCATAACATTAAAATCCCTGAGCAGGAGAGGGAAATCATGATGTGGGTACCTTTTTTATTATGCTTAGCAAAATAAGCCAGACGCAGAAGGACAAATACTGTATGATTCCACTTACATGAAGTGCCTAGAATAGGCAAGTTCATAGGGACAGAAAGTTGAATAGAGATTATCAGGGTCTGCGGGGGAGGGGAGGAGTGGGAGTTGGCGTTTAATGGGTATAGTTTTTTGGGGGGGTTGGGAAAAAGTTTTAGGTATAGATCGTGGTGCTGGTTACATTACATTGTGAATATATTTAGTGCCACTGAATTGTACTCTTGTGAATGGTTAAAATGATAAATATTATGTTGTGTCTATTTTACTACAGTTAAAAAAGGGAATGTGGCTAGAACAGAGGAAGCAAGGGAGGGAGTTATAGGGAGATCTGAGAGCTCAAGGGAGAGGGCAGGTCATGGTTATTGTAGGGACTTTGGCCTTTACTCTGAGTTGGGGGGGGGTCGTCAAGGGGGAGTTGGGAGTAGGGAAGGAACAGGATCTGACCTCTGACTTATGTGTTGAGAAGAGATGCAGAGGGCAAAAATGCTGTGTGCTTGGCATACATAGTAAACCCTTAGTAAGAATCAGTTGAAAGGATGCATGTTGAATGTCTGGAAGGAAGCACAGACTGTAACAGTCGTTGCCTCTGGGGAGGGGAGCTGTCCTAGGAGAGAGACCTCATTTTCACAATGCACTGTATACTCTATGGAGTATGTACGCAGGGTGAGCAGAGGGCTGTGAAAAGCCTAGCCAGCCACCAGGGGGCGCCATACGGCCACGTAAGAACCCAGGTTTCCAAAGCCAACTTGTTTTTTCTGGTTCTTGTTTCATGCCTTCTGAGACCCTCCTGCTGTCCAGTAGAGGAGGGTGAGCACCCCAGCCGCCTGGAGTGAGGGAGTCAGTTGCCCCTACGAAGCCCCTGCACTGCTGAATTGAGCCCCCTTTCTTTTGCAGGGGCTCAGCAGAGCAGCCAATGACAGTATAGATGGAGCTCAGACGGTGCTGCACATGGCCATGTTCCAGGCTGGCCTTGTGCCTTCAACAGAGCTCATGGGTTCTTTTTTCTTGGGGACTCAGCTCCCAAACCTGCTTTTTCCACAGCCCTTCCACTGGAGTAAAGGGCACCTCCATTCAGCTAGGTGCACCAGCCAAAAACCTTGAGGTCATCTTTGACTGCTCTCTTTCCCTCACACTTTACTTCCAATCCATCAGCAAGCCTTGTCAGCTTTTGCTTTGAAATAGATCTAGAATATGCCCACTTCTCACCTCTCCGCTACCCAACCATCTCTCACCTAGATGACCGCAGTAGCCTCCTCCTCGCTCTCCCTGCCTCTTCTCTCGCCCCTACCCCACCCCTACAGCCTCTGCCTCCCATGCAGATAGAGGAATCTTACTGGACCAAAGTCAGGCCACATTCCTCACCTGCTCAGCACCCTCCCGTGGCTCCCACCAAAGTCCTCACACTGGCCCACAGGGCCCTGCATGACCTGGCCCCTGTACCCCTCAGACTCATCTCTCACAACCTTCCCCCAGGGCCCTGGTATGCAGGAACAATGGCTTCCTGCTCCTGCTGTCACAGGCAGAGCATGCCCCACCCCCAGCACCTGCTGGTCCTGTGCCTGGAACACTCTTCTCTCAGATTCCTAAATGCCTGTCTCTCTCACCTCCTCAGGCTTCTGCACAAATGTCACTTCATCCTGACTACACTATCAACATAGCACATCCCAGGCCAGAGCTGGGACCGGGAGATGTAAGCGAGGTGACTGGGGTGCAAAATTTAAGGGGACGCTCACTCTTAGGACTGTGCAAGCACCAGCCTCCTTTTTGTACCCTGGGAGCCCCATTTGCCTCACCCTGTTCCTGGCTATTCATCAGCACCCCACCCTCATTACCCTCTGTGCCTGTGCCCTGCACTCATTGTCCTCATTACTTATGCATATGTGCATGTGTTTATTGATTGCCCCCCTCTCACTGGAATGCCAGCTGCATGAAGATAGAAACTTTTCTCATTTGCTGCTGTGTCCTCAGCCTCAGATGGTACTGATATATAATAGGCCCTCAATAAATATTTGTTGAAGGACTCACTGAAGGCATGTGTAATTTTGGGCAAGCTCTCTCAGCCTCCATATAGAATAGAGATGACAATAGTCTATACCTCGCAGAGTTGTGAGGTTTGAGATTGTGCATCTAACACAAGTCACATGGTTTCTGATGTACAGTAGGCAATCAGTAAAGGTCAGCTGTTGTTATTATTCTTATTAAACCATGGATACGATATTAAATAAGATAATGCTAGTTGCTGTAACAAACCAACCCCAAGATTTTGGTGCCATAACCTAACATGTAATGGCAAGTGCAGGTGTTCCTGGTCGATGGGTGGAGGAGGAGGTGGAGTCATTCGTTCCCTTGGGGATTGCAGAACAATAAAGCCCTGTCATCTTCAGTGCCTCCAAGGTCACCCAGGAGTTGATGTCCAGCCAGGAAATGGAAGAAGAGAGAATGGAGAAAGTCCATCCACTTTCAATCATCATTTTCTCACACCTTCATTGGCACACGGCCCCTCCCAGATACAAGGAGGGCTGGGAAATGTTGTCCCTGGCTGGGCAGCTACATCCCACAACAGCTCCATACCATGCAAGAGAAGCACATGTCTCCAGTGGACAGCTGGCCATCTCTGCCTCAGATCATTTCTCAGATGAGGTCTACGCTCCACGAAAAAAAGCCTCAGGCTGAGCCTCTGCCACTGACACCTAGCTATATCCTGAATAAGGTGACGACCCTGCAAGATGGGTGTTAGTCACCGATTCACACATCGGGTAGCTGAGGCTCCGAGAGGGTAAGTGACTTGTAGAGCCAGCACAGGAAGCCTTGGTCCTTCCCAATGAAAGGCTTTCTCATATTCTCTTTTCCCCACTAAGGGAGTGTGCTGGGGCAGGCCCCAGGCTGGACTACCTGGAAAACCAGTTGTTCCTCTTGAGCAAGCTGATGTGAGGAACAGGGCAGGGGCCAAACACAGGGTGCCTTCAGTCCTCTCCCTGCCTCATGGCGGAGCAAACACAGAGAATACCAGGTCTTCTTCCCTTGCCCGGAAGACACACTGGTTATTTCTTGGAGCTCTGAACCTTGAATTCAGGACATCAAATGCTCTATCTGCCCTCTCTTACCTCTCCCACACAGAGGTAGCACTTCATCTCTTGTGAGTCCCCAATTGTGTGTGTGTGTGTGTGTGTGTGTGTGTGTGTTTCCCAGCTCTGTCATCCCACTAGACTATGAGCTTCTCAAAGGAAGGAGTGCTGTCTTAGTCATGCACCAGTTATGTCCTAACTGTGAGAACTTGAGCAAGTTATTTAACCTCTCCGTGCATCATTTCCTCACTTGTCAAGTGGAGGTAATAAATAAGGGCACTCCTCAAAGGATAGTGTGATGATTAAATGAGTTAATATATACAAAGTGCATAGAATTGTACCTGGCACAGGGTCAGCGCTCATTAAATGTGAGCTATTATTATTTTTGGTACTATCCCCCAGTGCCCTCCATAGGACCTGGCCCAGGATTATTTGCTGAAGAAATACATTGATGAATTATGAATGACCATCAACTTCATGAGCAGAAGATTAATGCTTGGGGAAGAGTAAAACTTTAGCTGGGAGGAAAAATAGGACTATCACCAAGTGCATTAAGTATTTTAATTAGAGTCTCCTCCACACCCCCCTGTTGTCTGGCAGCTGCCTTCTGCTCCTAATTTTGTTTGGCCTGGATGACACTTGAAGGATCAGAATTTGGAGCGTCGTCTTCTGCCTGCGTCCTGAGGCCCTGCGCCAAACCTAGTGGCCTCCCAGGTGCTCCTCAGCCGCCTGCTTTAAATAGCTTCCTCTCGCTAACGGTTAATATGAGGCCTGGATGGAACAGAGCTTATGTAAGCTGGCCAACCTTTTCGCCCACTTAGCTGTTCCAACCAAGAGTGGGAGCATGCTTCTTCTCCTGCCAACAGGAGGCGCCCAACATTTGTCTTCTGAGAGGCTCAGGGGAGCTCTGGGAACCACTTACCGGTCCCTGGTGGGTCTTATGCTGGTCGCACACCCTTAGACTGTTGTGGAACGCAACCTAGACATCAGGATGTTTAACGCTCCCCATGTGATCTTGATGTTCAGCCAAGATTGAGAATCACGGCCCCAGAGCCTCTCTGCCTTCCTCTACCAGCCGCTGGTGGGCTCTTTCTAGGCGCTAAGCACCAGCCTCCCCTTCTGGATTCACCTCTTACACAGAGCAGCAGCATTTCCAAGCTTCTCAGTTGTGCCTGTACCTCCTGTACAATTTCGCCCTAGCTACAAACTGCCTATTATTTACCTTCAACACAACTCACTTTTAAATATTAACGCCATTCTAGGCACATATGAAATTATAGTTTGGATGTACTTGTCTTCTTTAATATGCATTTAAATAAATGCTAAATGGTTAAAACTGAGACCCATGTACCAGCAGAATCATTCTGTGCAGAGCCAGGGGTACATGCATCACACCTGGGAGGGAGCAGAGAGGGGCCACCCAAGGGTATGTGGGATCAGGAAATAGAGATTGCCTTCTGTGGTTGCACACAAAGAGAGGTAAGGGGATCCCCTCCCAAACCAAGGACAGCATGTATATGCTGAAAATGCTTTGAGTATCTCCAGGGGATTATCCAAGAAACTAGTAAAAGCAACTACCTCTAGATCTTACAGATCTTTTTTTCACTTTTAAAAATAAATCGTTTTTTAAAAGAAAAAATAGGTTAACAGAAGGAAGTGTCCCAGGTAAAGATGCCAGTGCCAGCACTCTAACTTTGGCTGAGAGCATCCAACCCTGTCCAAGCAGGAGAAGTGCAGAATTGGGATGAGGGCACCCAGTGCTTGGGTCACTGAAGACCCACTGTCCTCAGTGTGGGTCTTCCTCAGGCCTCAGCCAGGGCAAGCCCAGGAAACAACTTTTCCTCTGAGGTCTAGCTCAGCAGGTGCTTTCTGAAAACATGTTGGCCATCCACCCCATCCCTAGGTGCTGGTCCCTGCAAGATAGCCAGGCTGAGCATGCTCAAGGCACGTAGGAGGCCAGGAAGTCTCCAATCCTGAGTTGCAGGAGGCATCCTGGGGGCAACTCTGCAGCAAGCTCACGTGGTCTGGGGACCCAGAGGACAGAGCAAGGACCCACAGGGACATCACAGGGCTGTCACAAGGCAACAGGTTTTAGCTCAGAGAGAGCAAACGCCTTCTTCCTGGCAGAGTTGTGCTGGTTGGTAAGGCTGTTCCTGAGGGAGTGAGGTCTCCATCCCTGGAGGCATGCAAGCATAGACTGAGGAAACATGTGTCAGGGAGGTTGGGGAAAATTTTACCCTCCCCTGACCTTTAAGGGTCTTTGAATGCTGAGGTTCTGTGATTTCAGCTCCATGACACAAGCCCTGCTTCCTCCTCCTATGCTAGCGGTCGAAGTGTGAGGGAAGATGGGAGGTTCCCTGCCAATCTCCTCGCCTCCCAAGGAAGAACCTAGATTGGTCAAGAGCACTTCAGTGGAATGATTGGGGAGGTCCTCAGAGTCATTCAGCATCAAAGGTCATTGTTTGGCATTGATGTAGGAACTTGGCCTTGCAAAAGTGCCTTCAGGAACATAGGAAATAGTGGGAACCCTTGTTGCCTCCAAGACAGTTCCTCTCAGGTAACGTGGGGCCTCAGGCAGCACAGTGGGCTCCAACTCAGACCTCCTGCACAGTTTGGGCCTCCAAGATATAAACACTGCAATGAATTTAGTTCAATTTAAAATATGTTTTAAAATGTTATAGTTTTGTTACAGGTAATAGCATTTATATGGTGCGAATTCAAAAGGTAGGCAAGGTCATTTAGCAAAAAGTTCATCCCCCTTTCGTTCTTCTCCATGGCAACCATCAATCCTTGGTGTCCTCCAGAAAGCCTATAAAATTGCAAACAATAAACATATCTCTCATGAAATGTGTTTTGAGCACTTACTCAGTATAGGAGTGGGGAAGGGGTTTATGACGCATAGGCTAGGGAGCTAGACAGGCCTAGGTTTACACTTCAGCTGGTACTATTTGGCCATGCCTACTTGCTAAGAGCAAATGTTTGCTTCCTGGGGACCAGGTACTGTTCTTTGGTCTTTCTGTGTGTTTTCTCATGTAATTCTCACCATGTGTTAGTTGGGGTCCTCTGAGAAGCAGACACCAATATGGGGTTAGGCATGAAAGAGATTTATTGGAAATAATACCTGTGAAGGAAAATGGGGACAGAGCTAGAGTAAGGTCACCAAATTTAGCAAACATAAATATAGGACACCTAATTAAATGTTAATGTTAGATAAACAATGACTAATATTTTAGTATGTCATATGCAATATGTCCCATGCATCCTTATATTAAAAATTTATTTGCTAGTTGGTCCGAAGGCTGTGGGTTATTGTTAAGCTGATTAAAAAATTATTTGCTGTTTACCTGATGTTCACATTTAACTGGGTGTCCTGTACTTTATCCGGAGGCAACTGAGAGAGTCACCAGACCATCATGCCGAACAAAAGGGAAAGACGGAAGGTGGGTAGTGTGGTAGGTTGATAATGGCTCCCAAAATGCCCACGACTCAATCCCCAAGGACCTGTGACTGTTACCTTATATGGCAAAAGGGATTTTACAGATGTGAATAAGTTGAGGATCTTGAGATGGGGAGATTATCCAGGTGGACCCTAAATGTAATGGTAAGGATCCTTATAAAAGGGAGGCAAGAAAGTCAAAGAAGGAAATGAAAGATATAAGACAAGGCCCAAGGAGAGTTCTGTCTCACAGGAAGGGGCCTGTGGCACTCAGTCCCTCAAGTTGCTGGCAGGGAGCAGCCTGTGGGGACCTAGTCTTCATGCTAATGCTGTGCTTCCTTCAGACCACAGCAGCTGAGCTAGTCAATGCCACTACCCAGCCTTGGAAACCTCAGAGGAACATTTTTATTGCTCCCATACACCACAACCTTATTATTCTCATTCTACTACAAAGAAACTAATGCACAGAGAGGTTAAGAAACTTGCCATGGTCACACAGCCTTTAAGTAGTGTTGCTAGGATTTGAACCTAAGTCGTCTGACTCTAGAGTCCACACAATTTAACCATGATTTTAGAATGCTTCCTTTGTGTGCTTTTGAGTAAAAACTGCCTCAAATAGCTTTTGGAATCAAGCAGAGTGTAATTTAGGGATAGGCTAATTTAGAAAATATTATAGACTGATAATATCCAGTGTTAGGAGTTATGTAGGGAAATGAGTACTCTCACATCTCATGCACTATAGGGGGGAGTATAAATTGAGTACAGCCTTTAGTAGAATAATTGGCAGTATTTACAAAAATTTTAACTGCCCATGCCCTTTGTCCTAGTAATTTCGCTTCTAGGTGTTCTATCCCACAAAAACTTTCACATCTGCGCAAAGACAGGAGCAAGATTACACATTATGGTATTGTTCATAATCAGGAAGCACTGAAAATAACCTAAATATCCATTAATAGGGGAGTGCAAAATGAATTATGATGCATTCATATGTCAACCATTGTACTCATTTAAAAAGAACAGGGGAGAGCTCTGATGGCCAATAAGAGGAGAGTGCCATGTCATGTTGTATTAAAAGAGTCTTAGGACAATGAGCAGAGTAGACAGACAATGCGCTAATGTAAAACAATAGGAAAAAATGGGTGAGAATGTGTGTGAATGTATGCAAATATGCAAATACAGAGGCAACTACTGTTGGGATTTGTATTTATTTCTGAATACTCAACATGCGTCCTTTCAATTGATACTCATTAAGGGTTTACTAAGTGCCAAGCACACTTGGCATCTTTGCCCTCTGCATACCTTCTCAACACAAGCCAGAGGTCAGAGCCTGCCCCCCCGGTGCTCCCCCTTGTGGCCCTGCATGGCATGGCTTGCCCCTTCTTCTGGGAACTGTGAGTAACAAACTATCTTTTCAATGGCAGCAGTCTCTCCATCTGTGGGCCTCACCATACCTGAATCATAATAAAAATTTACATTTTAAAACACTGTCCCACTGGGCCGGCCGAGTGGCTCAGTTGGTTAAGAGCTCGCTCAAGAGTTTGAGCTCTGAGCAACAGCGGTTCGATGCCCGGCCCGAGCTGAGCAGCCGCTGAGCTGCCAACAGGTAGCAGGATGGCTCAGCTAAAAAAAATAAAATAAAATAAATAAATAAAACTGTCCCACTTCCATATTTGAAACACCACCCCTCAGTGTGTGGGACGTGGAGATTTGAGAGCCTAGATGCCTCCTCGCATGCACCCATCTGGAGATGGACTGTGTGAAGTGTACACACCCCGTGAGCAGCCCACAAGGACAATCATGAGGCGATGGCCACATGGTAACACCCTCCTCTCATCACCTCTGCTACTCCCTTCCTCATCCTCACTGGCAATGCCTGGGGCCAACCACCTCTAAACTGTGAACTGTGGCTTCCTCTTCAGAGGGATGCTGGGAGGTGGGAGTTATAAAAGGAGACTCTCATTTTTGCTATACATATCTGTATATCACATAAAATTTTAATGATACTTTATTACTTGAGTACATTTAAGATATTAAAAATGATGATAGTCTTAGGGGGAAAAAAAAAAGAAAGAGGCTTATTAAGTCAACAACTGGGTGTTTTGGCAGCAGGGGGAGGCGAGTGCTGTGTTTCACAGGCCTGTCATTGGTTTTGAAGCTTTGCTTTAATAGATGCCCTAGACTGGTGCTGGGAAAAGGGCCTCCTCTTGCTCAGACCTATTGGCACTTATTGCCTTTGACGCCAACGTCTCCTCCAGTGTGCTCAGCTCCTGACGGCTTCCTCCTTCTCCTCCCCAGCGGTCTTCAGGAGCCTTTCATCAAAGGACAATTACCGGCTCATTTGTCTCTGCCTCAAGCCTTGCCCCCACTGATCATGAGTCTCCAGGAGCTAGATAGATGCTTCCTGCAACAGCTGCCCCCTCAGAAAGCAACCCTCAAGGGACTATCCAGGAAGCGAGCCCTCAATTACACAATTAGTTCACATAGGTTCAAAGGCTGCTTCTGTCATGTATTTGCTGTGTGACCTTAGGCAAATTGCTTAATCTCTCTGAGCCCCAGCTTCCTCATATGAAAAACGGGAATAAAATAGGATCTATCTCATAAGGTTGTTGAGCGTTTGAATATATCTGAGACACTTAGCATAATCCTCAGAGTAAATGTTCATTTTCAATTGTCAAATTTTGTTATTATCAATCTCCCTGTTTACCCATTTTCTAAACTAACACTTATTGCGTGCCTATGGTGTGCCTGGCCCTTCGTTAGTTCCCAGAGCCATAAAACAGAATTTAAATTGCTTGTTCTTTGTATGTCACAGGTTGGTTTGGAGCCAGTGGCA